AAATATAAAACTAAAGATTTAATTTTATGAGTAGGATAACATATAATAGAGAACAGGTCAATTTTGCCTATTTTAAGCCAATCTATTTTGATTCGGCACCTTTCTTGAGTACCCATTATGTCTAAGTCTCTCTACTGGACCCTTGATGGGTCACAAATCTAATTGATTTATTGATCCATTCATTCACTTTTATGGTTGCTAGAGCTAGAGCAAGTTTAGGAAGGAGAAGGAGGTGGTGGAAAAAAAATACATTTTTCCATAGGAGGTGAACTATGAGGTGGGCTATATTCCTCTTAGATTTCTATAAGCCTAGTATTTTAAAGAACACCATGCTATTTGGGCCATGTCATTTTCAGATGCACAAAATATGCGTATTCAAACTCCACATCCAGGTGACACCAGTGAAAATTGCAGAGTAAGGACCTTGGAAAATTCTCTCCACAAAAGCAAAAAGGAACTGGTGAAGTCATCAGAATCAGAACTCTGGAAATTACCCACAGGCTTACAATAATCTGGGGAATGTTTATTTTAAAAAAAGAAAAGAAAAGAAAGGAAAGAAAAAACAGTTCAATCTCAGTAAAAGAAGTGAGCTTTGTGGCCTTGTTGATTTGCCCTGATCCCAACCTGGACTCTCCTGCTTTGCGATATTCTTAAAAACTAACAGCCTGCATTCATGGTGAAGACTGGCAGCCTGGCAGCCAATGGAAAGGAAGGAAAGGGGCTGGAGCTCCTTCTAAGCTTCATTCCCAGAGAATTATTACGTGACCTGTCTGGTGGCTCCCTGGAAAGCCTCACTTGCAAGACTGTCTATACTTGACCTAACTCAGAGCTCACCTGGTATGAAAAGCTTTTTCCCCCATAAGCGTTTGTCAAAAACAATTACAGGCAATTACTTAACTTTGCAGCTGCCTGAGGTGATAGATACCAGGTGGGAGAAAGCATTAGACTAACCAAAAGCTTAAAAAGAAAAACTGGGGAGTGAGACATACAGAGGAGTTTTGAAAAGCTCTGACACACACCTGGGAATCAAGAAGGCCACAGGCATGTATAGGCTTGTGCTCACACCCAGGACTCTGTGCATTGCCAAGAACTGAAAAGGCCCTCCATTCTCACCCTGGGATGACTTGTCCTGTGCAAGCAGAAAGTGAAGGTTAAGGCAGAGTTGAAAGCGTGCCCCCAACATGCACACAGGGCCCCTCACCAAAAGCTGGGAGACTTATTGGTTCCAGGCATTTAAAGAAATGTCCAGGCCCTATACATACTTTCTGAGCTTTGCATGGTGGTAACAACAAAGAAACAGTCACATGGGCCATAGGACAGCCAGTGGGTTTGATGTCTCTCTGGATTTCTGCTCCCATTTCAGTTCAGGCCACTAAGGAGTTTTCTTACTTTCTTGCCAGCTCAGCCACACATTTAAAAACATGACTTTTACATCTAGTCCACTGTTTTTAGAGGTTTTGTAGTGAAAAGTTTCTAAAGAATATCTGGATAACCATATTGCCAGAAACATAACTCCTCCCAGCCTTTGAGCTATCACTTCCCCATTGTGGTTTTAGGAAGGGTCTACCTACTCTGTCATTTCGTGTCTGAATAGAATGAGGGACAGAGATTGTGAGGCTCCCTGCCCTGTTGGGGAGTCCCACTGCCTTTTTCTGCTCTTCAGCCTCAGAGACAGACTTCAGCCAGCTCGCTTGCTCTTCTTGTCCTTGGGGTCCCAGGAACTCAGACACATCCCTCTCCCTTGGTCGCTGACTCTACCCACTTTTCTTCTCACAGATCTCTCCAATTTCCATAGTCTTTGCTCTACAAAAACTTATTTTTATCTTAAGGCTTTTACTGTTGATCATTAGAGGAGAACAGTAAATAACAGGAACATGATGAAGATGAGAAATTTACAAGCATCTCATACTTTTACAAAAGGTCTTATAATCTTGGTCCTGATTTCCTTGTAAGATGAGTTTTTGTCTTCCAATTTAGTTCTCTTAAGGAGTTGTTCTATATTTAGGTGAAGATCACAGGGACTCTGTTCTCAAAAAACGACCCTTCTAAACTGAAGACGTAAGGGCCTGTGGACTCTGTCAAGACAGGACACAGGCACCCCTCTCCTCTCTAGAGGACATTTGGCACTGAGAATCACCAGACTGAATGACACTAAAATTGGTCATCTTCTGTACTGATCAGGACTATTACAGGCATTCTTTTATAATCCTCTATTATTGTATGATCGAAACACCCAAAATATGAAGTAGATTCTGATTGTGGACCCATTTTTAGCTACCTGGTTAACACAGAGCCTTACCTCCTTCTGAAACTTTGATTTGACGTGTGTTGGACCTTCTTACTCTCTCCTCTCATTTCTTAGCCTTTCTTTCATATTTTCCATCTCATTGTCTCTCTGTGCTAATTTTGGGTAAGTTCTTCAGATGTATCTCCTAGTTTACATTCTCCCTTCAACTGGGTCGAGGCTACTATTTTACACATCCATTATATTAAATTTCTTTGTTTTTTTAAAAATTATACATTTAATTAAGCATAGATTGTTGGGATTTTTTGGGTTTTTTTTGGTGAGACCGGCCTTGAGCTGACATCTGTTACTAATTTTCCTCTTTTTGCTTGAGGAAGATTATCCCTGAGCTATCATCTGTGCCAGTTTTCCTCTATTTTGTATGTGGGACGCCGCCACAGCCTGGCCTGATGAGCGGTGTGTATGTCTGCACTTGGGATCTGAACCGACGAACTCTGAGCTGCAGAAGCAGAGCACATGAACTTAACCACTCTGCCACCAGCCCAGCCCCATTATATTAAATTTCAATATTAACTCTGTAATTTCTTGAAGTTCTGTGTGATTCTTTATAAACTTTCCTGGCCCAAAGTAGAGTTTCTGCCTAAAATCCTAGTAGTTATTAGCGTTTCTGTCTTCAGTCTTCAAGACTTTTAAAGTATTCTGCTAAATTTCTGTTTTCCCATGTATAAAATGAAGGGACTGGATTAAACTATCCCTAACACCCCATCCCACTTTAACAGACTGTGATTCTATGCTCTTTGGCCACCTTGACTCCATCCTCTTTCAGAGAGATTAAAGATTGGAAACTGGTTTATAAAAGGAGAACACCCATTCCGCAACTAATAATGGCAAGTTGAAAAAGAATAGAAGTAATAGACATGACAACCAGATCTGTGGGGTGAATACAGGATGTAAGAAAATGGTTTCCCTTCACTGTACATCATACATGAAAGAAATTTTATAGAAATTTAAAGAAATTCTACCCTCCATGCCACCCCATCCCTCTAAAATTCTTGTCAGAGGCAGCATGGCATATGTGCATCGATCGACAGGAGACTGTGTCTGAGCCACAGAATCAGCTGTGTACACCCCGACCAGCGGCCAGGAGAGCCGTCCAGCTGCGGCAGGTGTAGCATTAGACTAGCCAAAACAGAGCTTCAGGTTGGCAGAACTTTAGACATCATCAAGTCCAGTCACATTCAATGCCTGATTTCCTGCTTCGAAGCCTTCAATTTAAGGTCGCCTCATTAAACATCCTCAAGTGTGAGAAAGTGCCGTCCTCTGACACAGCTCTGTACGGAACGAAAGCCCCGTGGTTTCTGTTCACGACTGTTTCTCCAGGCCCAGAACACAGAGTAGATGATGAGTAAATATTCATTAGGTGAATCAATGCCATTTTTAACAACTGAAATCCTTAGAAGGTTTTGCTTTGCATTGAGCTAAAACATGTCTTTCTGTCATATTATTAGTTTTACTCTCTGCCCAGATAAGGCAGCTCCCTCTTTGGCATGCCAGCCCTTCAAGCTTGTGAAAAAAGTCACCCTGCCCTTTCTTCCCAGGATAGAGAGCTTCCACCCCTTCATTCCACGCTCCTCACATGTTTGGTGTTAAGCTTTCTCTCCATCCTCTTCGCTCTCTTTGGGTATGCTCCAGTTTATCATTGTTCCTCTTAAATTGTAATTCTCAGAAAAGAATACCGTACCCCCAGTGCAGTCTGACCAGCTCAAGCAGAGTTGGACAAACTCTCCTCAATTCTACTAGTACAACCCAAGGGCACATTCACCGTTTTTTTTAAGCTGTCATATCCCTTTCTTGACTCACAACCAGCTCGTGGTCAAGGAGAAAGCTCGTATCGGTGCAGAAACGTGGCATGTCTGAATGTCAGAACAGGTTACCACAGGACACTAATCTCAGTGCCTTTGGTGAACGGGGCACATCCTGTGGAAATGCCAGTGACAGCGGACGATGGGGACCTCGTCTGGGCGCATCACGTCAACTCCCTTTTCATCACATCGACTCCCTTGTCACAGCTAGTGAAAGGCACTGAGTAAGCCATTAGTGCACATTACATCTCTCTTTCACGTGGGCTTACCGAATCCATCACAGGGCGATAACTCAGGCCCTGAGCTGCTGCCTAAGCACATCGTCAGCTGGGAAAACCTGTTGAAGAAGACAGTTCAGTTCGTACTGTCACTGGCACAAATTCAATGCAGGTGTTGCTTAACAGGTGAGCTCTGAAGTGAAAGACAGGTCATTTCTAAAGGACATGCTGGATACGGCCTTCCAGTCTCGTTTTCCAGGTCAGTACAGCAGAACTGGCTTTTTTTAATAAGTAATTTCTCTTTTCAGAACCACCAAAACTTTATCTTGAATGCAAGCAAAACTAAAGTGCCTTCAACTCAAGATATGTATGGTTACTACTAACATGACTGTTCTTAGGGGGTTTTAAAGATGAACTTAGAATTGCCAAGCTCTTTTGCTTTTTAATAACTAGTCTCACAAGTTGTTAGATGCCATTTCAGGGAATCAGACTTGAGGCTTAAAACGGTTGTCTGACTTTGCGTTGTTAGAGAAAATCTGCGATGGGCAGAAAAGACGTAGGAACCTGTCCCAAAGGCAGAACTTTTAAAAAGAAATTTTATTGTATCAAGTAGTTTGTTACTGAGTTCCTTCCAAGGTCCTTGTCGGGAAATCAACTGCTTGCCTTGTGTTTCAGCGAAAGTGTGCTGAATTACGTACTGGCATAGGTGCCAAGATACTTTCTGACTGCTTTCTTGGACTCGAGGACCTGGAGAAGCACTTGGCTCCTGAGTCTCCAGAGTACCACAGGGGCGGTGCAGGGACCTGCCTGCATCCGTTCTTTCTCATGAACCACCACGCTCAATGACCTTAGAAGGTCACTTCCATTTTCCTCAAGTACCACACCTCTGTTTCTGAGACGAGGTGAGTAACATCAAACATGAAAGAAAGATATTAAAATGATTTAATGTATATTTACTAGTCCAGAAGCAATTTGCAAAATAATATAGTTAAGAGGTCCCAGAAGTGGTTCTTCCCGCGCATTTCTACCGCTGGCCGGACAGCAAGTAAATGGAAAAGATGCCACCACATGAGGTGAGCTGAGAATAAAGAGAAGAGCTCTTAACATACAGCCGTGTGCTTTACCGTTGAACCAGTGTCTTTTTCTCACTCCCTTCCCTTCCTCCTTCCTTCTTTCTTTTCCTTCTAAGGAAAGAAGAGGAGAGGATAAAGAGGGGTTTAAGCTACGTTTGCAAACGCTCCCTTGCCCTCCCCTCTAATTAAGCAAACTTGGACTTGGAGAGCCAGCTGGGAAGTGAAGAGTCTTTCTCCTGCAGCTCTACAGCTGTTTTGGGCACGGCTGCGTGTTTATAACCTTCTCTCACAGATGTTACATTTTATGAAATGTGACTCATTAGGGTGGTACTGGTATCTTTAGATGAAAAGAAATCCCTGAGGGTTGAATGATTACACAAGTCTGGTTCACTGAAAACCTGAAATATTTTAATAGAATATTTCCTGGAAAAAAAGGCAAGACTTTGCTGTACTTAAATGAATCAGAAAGACCAATGATTTTAAATTCGTTCTTTCCTCCGGGAGGAACGAGGGAGGGACGATATTCTGGTTTGGGGAGCGGTTGTTTTCATTTGCAGAATGTTTTCAATTTGTGTAGACTTCTTGTTTTGGACCTTGATCAATATTTTTGTTCCAATGTGCAAAAAAACCATTTACTAGAAGACATTTTCTGATGCCCACTCTGTGCAAAGCCCTGGTGCTACGTGGAGGCGTGGAGAGCAGTAAAGGAGCTGGAAGATGTTGTTCTGCCATCTTTGAGCTTCTCATAAAGGTTTAAAACTAGATGTCACCTGTGCTTTCCAGACGAGGCACCTGGGGTCTCAGGGGGAAGGGGTCTCACTCACAGTCACGCAGCTAGTGACATGCAGAACTCGAACTTAGAACCTCTCTCCTGAGTCCCCTTGCTCTGTCAACATGCTGGGCTTCCTAGTACCCGCGCACTTAAATGGGGTCAAGCGGCATGGCAGGGCCAGAACTGGGGTGAGGCAACTGAGGCTAAATGTTAGCAGGAACCCAAAATTCCAGCCATCAAAACTAAAGCAAAAAACTCCAAGCCGAACAAAATGTCGTCGTCTCAAGAGAAGTCAGAACCTGACCTGCACTTGCGTGACTCAGCCTCCTCGCCTCACCCTAATCTTGGCCCAACGTCATGCAGGCTGAACTTTTGGGTGGACCAAGGGGGAAAACCGACCAGAAAACATTCCCATGGCTGGGATAGTTGTACAGGAATCCTGAGTGTACAGAGGGAGATGTCCAGATGTTCAGAGGCGGATCACAGACTCGCCACAGCAGCGACTTGAGGTGAAACAGCTCTGATTTGTTCTAATGAGAAGCTGAGACTGAAGGGCATAGGGGGAGAACTCAGGGTGTGACAGTGGGTCATGCTAACCTCTCGGAGATGCTGTTCCTGTAATGAACTTGGTTGCCTTCAAGGGCTCTGCTGGTGGAGGACAAAATAGAGTCCCGAGCCTGGGAGTGGGGTGTGGTTGGGGGTCGGAACTAGAAACTGGGCTAAAAGTTTTCCTCCCCTTTTTGATTTTCTTCTCTCTCATCCACGCCCTGTGCCTGAAGTATTCAGCCAGGACATGGCTGTGCACCATTTGAAAGTACCCTTTGCCCTTAGAAGGGGTGCAGGAGGAAAGGAGAGGCCTTGGGCACATGCTGTCCTCCAGGGTCATTGCTGGTCCAGTCACCACGAGACACCAAAAGGGGACTTGAGTCTTTGCCCACTATGAGCACTAAAGAGTATGCATTTGCCGGAATGTCCTCAGGGCCTACCTGCCATGGGCTACGTGGGACTTGGTTTAGGTTCCTGGTCTGCAATTTGGCTCTTCACTTTTCCACGTTTTGCAATGACTTTAACAGCAGAGTGAGAACCAGCCCCAAGAAGAGAGTAGATTCTGGGTGACTGAGGCTCTGCCCCAGGCTAACGTGTCACTAGGACAGGAGCTCCAAGTTAAAAACTGTTCTCACAGAGGCTCCCCTGGGCCTGGAGGTGGGCAGTGGCGAGGAAGTCTAAGAAAGAACCAAAGCAGCTTTCTCTGTCCCGTTCCTCCTCAGCTTCCCCCCACCTAGCCAGCCTCATTTAAGGGAGGAGGGGTTTAGCTTTCATTTCGTCTTGTTTTTTCCTTCAGCCACAAGAACAGCTCTAGAAAAGGAAAGTAGAATTCTTCTCTAAAGTTCAGCCTCCTTCTCAGAATCTCTACTGCTTTAAACACTCTCGAGAAAGGATTCCTGTCCCTCGGGTGCCTAAAGGTTAAGAACACGGGCGTTTACAAATCTGGGTGAGAACTCTGACCACGCCAACTTGCCAACTGAACGGTTTTTGCAAGTTCTTTAATTTTCCTCTCTTCAGTTTCCCAATCAGTAAACAGAGAATAAGGGCTCAAACATAATCTCTGTAGTCATACATTCTTGCCCTTAAAGGAGCATGTTCAAGGCCCCGAGTGCAAGCATCAGTGCCTTCCAGGGTCCCCCATCCAGCAGCCACTCGGGCTGTGCCGAGCCCCCGAAGGGCCCCCAGGGCAGCGTGTCTGTTTGGTGCATTGGTTGGTAGGTTTGTAACGTTCTCCACTTTGAACAGCTGTAAGTTCTCGCCTCTACTAAGCCAACATTTTCCTGCCTAATGGGCCAACATTTTTTCCCTTAGCTCCAACCTTGGAAAACACGGAATAAATCTCTTTCTTCTTCCTCAACTTCAAGTATCTGAAGACAGCTGTCAGACGCCTTAAGTCTCCTTTCTCACTGATTCCTTCAACCTTTCCAACAAAGACATATCCCAAGGCCCCTCAGTCTCCTGAACCCTTTCTTGTGCACGGCTGTGGTTTTCCAAAGTTCTTCTCAAAAGCTGTTTTTCAGGCTCAGCAAACTACTCCTGATACAGATTCGCCGTGACAGAAAGGAGTGCTGAGGGTGCTAGCTCGGTCTTCACTGCCATCAAAGGATTAAAGTGTTCATGACGGATGTCTCTAAGCCATCACAGTAATGACTCTGGCACCCGTTGTGTGGCGATGATCAAGGGGCGAGTCTTCCAACGTGTACTTTATCTTCCACAGCTGTTTTATCCCACATTCCCTCCTGTCTCCTCCTAAGGGGAAAAAGTCAAAAATGTTTCCAGGCATAATCTTGCATGAATGGGAGGAGGTTCTAGAATTGTCGCTCTTCCCTCCTCCCCCAATTTTTTGCTGCTGTGTTGAAAAAGCATTACTGTTGCACCCAAACAGGTTCCCCCTCCCCTCCCTTCACCGAGTTCTCATACTGCCTCTCTGCATGAGGGACAGTATTGGTTTGTGAAGTGGCTGCAACTTCAATGTATTCTGCAAATTCTTTGACGATTGGTCCTTCTCCTTTAGGAAAACAGTCTTTTCTTTCTTCAAGAGAGGAAATATCTTAGGGGCTGGCCCCAGGGCCTAGTGGTTAAGTTCAGTGCATCCTGCTCAGGCCCAGGTTCATGGCTTCGGATCCCGGGTGTGGACCTACACGGCTCCTTAGCCATGCTGTGGAGGTGTCGCACATACAAAATAGAGGAAGATTGGCACAGATGTTAGCTCAGGGCTAATCTTCCTCAGGAAAAAAAAATGAAAAAGAAAGAAAGGAAAAGAAAAAAAATGAAAGGAAATATCTTAACATAAAATAAAATAAGAATATAATGGCTGCCAATTCACCCTAAACCAGCTACTCCTCCTAGACTTCTGTAAATGTCATTGACTATAAGTGGTTGAGAACCAGCATATCTGTGGTGTCAAGCAGTGATGAGATAGAAAACAGGTATACTATGGCAGCAGCACAGACCTCCGCTGGGCACCTCTGACTTGTCTGAAGTGCATCTTGTATCCTTGCCTGCAGAGATTTCAGGTCACGGTTAAAGATTCTAGACTCACACCAACATAGGATTTTCAACCTTTTAAAAAATTTTTAAACCATGGGTGGTATCTAATTATGAGAAGTTTTACAATCTGTTAGGTACCCTGTTGTGACTATAGCTTCCAGAATCATTTCCTCAGTAGACATAGCACTGCCCAGAGGACGTTAACAAGGATCGAAGCTTTAGTTGTGACTTGTATGTGAATGAAAATATCCAAAACATAAATTGGAACAATTCAGATCTCCAGGAGCTATCTAGCCATATGCCCTACAAAAATAAAGTTACAGAAATCCTGTGCCATCAGGGTTTTCAAATTCAGTGATTTCATTCTTTGTGCTAAAAAATTACTTGTGTATGTGGAAACCCCTTTTCAAGGAAATGCTGGTTTGGGGATCTCTCTCAGCTAGGACCAGGGCTTTGCAACATTCCATTGTTGGTGGTGGTGCAACATTCCATTCTTTCCCAAACTCTACACAAAGTTTGGAGAGAAATGAGATAAAGGCCTGGACTATATCTTTTAATAGCTTTTTTCAGAGAGAAGTAAGAGAAGTATAATGCCTTACAGCATTCTCTTTTCTCAGCACTCTTGGCAGATATGGGGATAATAATGACATTTGGGGGCAGACACGGGGCTGGTGTCTCACGAGGTGGGAGCACCATACAGAGTCAATATATTTTTTTTTCTGCTTTTTCTCCCCAGATCCCTCCAGTATATAGTTGTATATTTTAGTTGTGGTTCTTCTAGTTGTGGCAAATGGGACGCCACCTCAACATGGCCTGATGAGCCGTGCCATATCCATGCCCAGGATCCAAACCCTGGGCCACCAAAGCAGAGCGTGTGAACTTAACCACTTGTCCTCAGGCTGGCCCCGCCAGAGTCAATATTTTTAAATATAAGAAGCACACAAAACAAAATGAGTTTTAAAATCTCTACTTAAACCTTCTCCCCCTCCTCTTGAAGCAGCATGCATAAATCCCGCTTTCCCCTTCCCAGCCCCTCCTCCCTCCATCGCCCACTGCTTTCCATCTGACGCTGCAATCAGTCATCAGCAGCCATGACTACTGAGCACGCTGTGTGCCAGGCACGGAGCCACCTGCTTCTCGAGGGTTTCCGCACGTGTTGGTCACAGCAGCCTCTGAGCTAGCAGTATCACTGTTCCCATTTTACCAGTGAGGAAAGTGAGGTTTCCAGGTGCTCGGTGACTTGTCCAATATTCCACAGCCAGGAAGGGGTAGGACTGGAATTCGAAGGCAGGCATTCTGACTCCAGAGCCCACAGCCCACTTTACCCCCTGATATTTAAATTATACTTATGTGTTAATTATCTTAAACTCTTGCAAACGAATGCAGCCTAAAAGTTTCTCTGCGACCCAAGGTTAATCATTCACTCTGTTTCCTCCCAGCAGTCAACAGAGCTGTACAAATCATACGAGTCAGGACACTACCTTCTGGGTGGAGCGTTAAAACAATGGGCACTTAAGTAGGCGTTGACTTTTCACATACGTGCTGGGTCCTCTGAGGCTGTCCAGGCGGATCGTGGGGCTTAGACCTGCAGGTCAGCCTGCAAGCCTTTTATGAAAAGAGCTTGGTCCCAGCAGAGTGAAAATAGATGTCATTTCATTTCCGCTTGATTTGATCATCTCTTTTTTTTCATAATGGAAAAACTTTCTCCCAACGCTACTGCCTTTAAAACTGAATAAAAGATTTGTACATCTAAAATTAGTTAGCTTTTCTACCCAAGGTTGATTTTCAATGTCAATTCAATAAAAAAATTATTCTCAAGGCTATACTCAGTTTAGTTAAGCTTCCTGAAACATTCTACTAACTTCCTAAAGGAACATCTCTCAAATATGTCTCCTCATCTCCATCGTCACTCCCCCTGCCTCAGGGCCTTCCATCTTGACGTCAATTGTGGCAATATTCTCCCGAACTGCTACCAGATGATCTTTACAAAAACAGTGACTTGGTGATGTCGCTCCCTGCTATAAACATTTTTATTTGCTCCCAACTGGCAATGGATTAAAATCCAAATACTTAGGCATGACATTCAAAGATTTTCATGAACAGAACACTCCCTTTTCTTTGCTGTCTCTTTCCCAGACAAACCAAAATACTTCCATTCTTCCTAATATACCAAGGAATATTGTCATTTGTCTTAGTGTCTGGGATTCAGCAATAAGCGACATGGGAGCTACAGATAGGCAAGACACTTCTCTATCACAGGATAGGCCATGCCGGGCTTGGGGTGGCAGGGAGCAAGCTGCAGTCACTGTCCTACCACCTCCAACCAGCTGGAGCATCGGGATCAGGCCCCACCTGTTTCCACTCAAGCTCCTTTGGTCCCATCAGTGAGTACCCACGGTTTCTATAGAACACCGCTGTGCCTCAGCACCTTCCAGACAGAGGCCGTTTATCCAAAGGGCAGCCAAATATTCCACTGGGGCCAAGCATCTTGAGTACAATCTAGGGTGTGGCATACAGTTTATATTTGACAGTTAGTGGAAAATTCTGAGCAATGCCCCAAATAACCCCCACCCCGCAACCTACACACACACACATACACACATGCTTTGCAAAGATGACAGCCTTTGAAAAATCAAGTTTGCTGACCATAGTTGTTTGCTGGGTCACAGATCTATGGTTTTCACCAGAGAGTTTCTCTTTCATGTCCATGGGTTTTTTTCTACACACTCCTGTCATCCAATCAGGAGGAGAATAGGGGTTCCCTCCAGGGCCCTATGGTTTTCACAGGAGACACATTCAGCTTTTGAGTTCTTTCCCCCCAGGGTGGAAGGGGGCCTCTCCACGGGCACAGCACAGAGACGAAGGTCAGCACAGCAGCTCCTTCTCTCTGCTCAAAGTGGGTGAGGGCCTCAGTTTTCTTAGGGATGCACTTTTGAATGGTCCATGAAAACCCATCTGACTTCACGTTATGGAACTAAATTAAACCTCTCTGCATTCACCAAATGCTCTGCCAGAAGGATCCTTGGGGTTTTGTCAAGGTAGACAAACACAGCGCTTCCCTCGGTAGCCAAGTGTCGTTTAAAGCCACATTTAAAAGTTTAACAATACACATTTCTACCACATGTCCCTTCCCAAAATCATCTGGATTTTATAGACTATTTATCACTACTCGTTCTGCCAGAACTCTTGCAGTGAAATCTGTTTATTCAGAAAAGACTTTCAGCTTTACCGTCTAGAAAATCTGAATTGATCAGAAACTGATTGGTTTAATTCAATAAATAGTTCTGTGCTCTGGAACTAGACACTTGTCACCTGAGTATCCGGGTAAATGTTGCCCAGGAATGTGGGACCTTGGGTGCTGCACCGCAGCTGAATGCCTCTCCACATTCTTTGGAGACCAAACCGCAGCCTTCAGGAATGCTTCTCCGAACTCGCTCCACACCAAGCAATTTTCACACATTTCTAACAGACTTGGGTAGACCTGCATGTACTCATGTCCACATCATGTCCACAGTCAGCCTGGCACATACTGGAGTGGTACTCAAAAGATTTTATGATCCTGCAGATGTTTATTAGTCTTTATTTCAATCAGAATTATTTACTTGCCTTCCAGCAGCACATATGGTTTAAAACAAGTACAGTAGCTCTTTCCCATCTAAAAGCCTTGTCCTGGCATTGTTACTGCGTTCTTCCAAGCACTTCCAGATTGAGAAAACTATACGTCTCAATGGAAAGTCACTGCCAGCCAAGAAGCTTTGACCCTGCCTGTTTAATAAATAATAGTGTTTCCTTTAAACCTGGCTAAAGACCTAATTCTGCCTGCCGTCCATCTTCATTTCTGGTTACTGCTCAACAAGGCTCCTTCCTATTGCCCAGACATCCCTCCAGTTTCACCTCTGAGTCTTCATTCACATCCTCCCCGTCACTTCTCAAAAAGAAGGTATATGTAGACATAGGCACACATATGCACATATATGTATACAGATAGCCACCTGGTTAGATTGAAGACAGATTTCCCCATATTTTCTTTCTGTATCTCTTTTTGCCCTTTCTCTCTTATCTCACCAAGATTAAACAGGTAAATATAACACAGCATGATTGGTGATACAGCAGAATATCAGGGTTTTTTTTTTTTGAGGATGATTAGCCCTGAGCTAACTACTGCTAATCCTCCTCTTTTTGCTGAAGAAGACTGGCCCTGAGCTAACATCCGTGCCCATCTTCCTCTACTTTATATGTGGGACGACTACCACAGCATGGCTTTTGCCAAGCGGTGCCATGTCCGCACCCGGGATCCGAACTGACGAACCCCGGGCCGCAGAGAAGCAGAATGTTCGAACTTAACTGCTGCGCCACCGGGCCGGCCCCAGAATATCAGTTTTTAGAAGTGTGAAAAGACATCTCCTTAAATGTAAATTGGCGGAAATGTGCAGCGTAGGAAGCTTTCTTTGTAGGCCTTATTTCACCTTGAGATTGCAGGTAATATTTTGAGATTGCATTATCACACACTTCATTCGCATTCTCACGTGAACGGTTTTAGATTTTTCAACAATTTTATTTTTTACTATACACAAGACACGGTGTCAGCAAAGATTGTAAATTCAAGTGCTGACAGCATCCTGGGAAGCATAGCGAGCGCCTTGGAAGAGGCAGTGGCCAGGGCCGAGCAGGACATACCTGACCTAAGAAGAAAGCCATGCTGCTGTAGGACGCACGAGCCCATTCTGAACAGATAATGCAAATTATCGAGAGATGCTAAGAATTGGAATCTTTTTGTGAAATCTCCATATTAGCATCTACATCAAACATTTTTTAACACTTTCAACCAAATTAAACACACAGATCAATAGTTTGCAACCTCTAAAAGGCACAACTGGTTGGTAGTGGTGTAGACAAGAGCAGGCCAAGCCAGGACTCCAAGGTGAGAGCACCCCAGAGAAGAGCCGGCTCGGCAGCAGGTAGAAGAGAGGAGTTTGACTGGGCTCAGGATGTGTAGATCAGGGTTTCTTAGCTTCAGCATCATTGACTTTTCAGGCAAGATAATTCTTTTTTGTGGGGGGGCTGTCTAACGTAGGATATTTAGGAGCATCCTGGCTTCTCCCCACTAGATACCAGTAGCACATGTCCCCCCATCCCCGTTCCCTGTCATGACAATCAACAATGTCTCTAGACATTGCCACATATGCCCTGGGAGGCAAAACTGTCCTGGGTTGAGAACCACTGGTGTAGACTTTGGTGGTAATAAGGGATGGGAATTGGTGGTAGGGAAATGCCTCCTGGGGTGGTAGGTGAGTAGTCTAACCAAGGAGGGAGAAGGGAGCAGGAGAGAGAGCAAAGCAGAGTCATGTGGTAACAGGTCTATGTTCTCCAGAGGACTGGAAAGAACCAAAGGTATAGCAGCCCAAAACCAGAACCCAGTAGCCAGCACTAGGAACAAGGCAATGACCCAGTTACCCAGATCAAGCAGAGCGATTGTAGAAGCGGAACCACGGGTCAGGATCTCTGCTGACTTGTGCTCTGAACTGGAAGCGTGGTTGAGTTTAAGTTTGGGGTAGTGCACAGCTCACAGGGAAGAGATAACAGAGCCAAGCTGTGGACTTAGAGCAGTGACAAGGCATCGGCATAGGGTCTTCTAACCAGAGATGGCAGGAGGCGGGGTGAGGGTCCTTCATCAGGGAGTCTACTCACCCTCCACTCTCAAGGACCGGGACCTCTGACTCAGCTCCGAAGAACAGCTCCAGTCCTAGGGGCTGATCCATTGCTTTTGCTTTTCTTCCAGGGTCCTCCTTGGGAAGTAATAGAAACCCAGTAAAGTCAGGAACTTGTCCATGGCATTTTTTCCCTGGAGAGAAAAAGAGCTGGCCCAACTCTTACAGTCAATCCCCTCTGTCAACCCCGAGGTTAGTGGGTCTCTGCAGAGGCCTCTGAGCAGCACTGAATCCTATGACTGTCTCTCTGGGGACCGAGGGCAAGTCATTCACAGAGGCCAACTCAGAGTTGCTATTTCCATTCTAATGGGTAGGTTCCTTCTTCACTGTGGAAAACCTCAAAGTTTTCAAGAGTTTGTCTGCCCCAGGGGTCACAGACTAGGACCTACGCCCACGGCTATTTTGTTTTAAAAGAGTAGCTTAGAAGTTGGACACTTTTCACATTAAAAATATAGATATCCAGCCATTGTTCAACAACTCTGGCAACACCAAGCCCTCATTTTCCACGTGGAAACAATTGGCTAGAACTGAGTGGCTGCTGTCCACTGAAGGCAAGTCTCCTGCTCTTGGGTTCACCCAAATCCCATTGTGTCCCCAACCTGGACTACTGCACCCATTAGGCAGCCTGCCCCTGGGGGCATTTACATTATGAAACGATGGGCAGAGGACGTTAACTCTGCCCAAACAGTCTATGTCTAGTATCATCACAACTCAAGACCTGCCCCTCATTTTCTTATACAGCGGGAGTCTTACCAGCCCACCATAGTCAATTGCAAAAACTCCCTCATATTCAGTGTCCATGGTTAAAAAGGGGGTTCTTAAATGGCTTCCTGACCCTTGCTGGGGTAAGAGAGACCCCCTCACCAAGCCAGCTTCTTCCTCTTTCCATTCTCCCTAAGGTAAGCTCCCTTCTCTCTCTTCCGGTAAGCTTCTGGAAGCCAGGACCATTGCTAGGAGGAGCTCCTACCTCAAGGGTTTCTTACAGCATCTTTCACAGGAGGTTGGTACCGCCAGGTCTCCATCACAGTGCTTAAAGGCAAGGCCTAGAGAAGCTAAATTTGTTAGGATACAGGTTCAACTGCTTTAACAAAAGCCCAAAAGAATAGCAGCGGAAATATTTTCTCACTTAGTCATCCAGAAGGAGCTGGTCCAGAGAAGCAGGGCAGCCCTGCTCCACGCGGTCATCCAGGGGCCTAAGCTTAAAACCATGTTTTCCTCATCCACATGGTACAAGATGTCTTACCACTGCATCCTCATCCAGCCAGTGAGAAGAGCAGGAAAAGGGTACTAGGGGGACTTGGACTCTGGTACAGAAGGTCCCAAAGTCTGGGGGTCATTGTTGACTCTTCTCTCACACCCCACATCCGGTCCATTAAGAAATCTGTTGTCTCTATTTCCAAAATATCTAGAATTCAATCCTTTATCATCGCTTCTACCACTACCGCCTTGATCCAAGCCACCCTTCTCTCTGGCCAGGATGATTGCAATAATCTCCTGACTGGTCTCCCTATTTCTACACTCAGTCTATTTTCAACATAGCGAAAAGAGGGGTCTTTCTATAATATGAAGCAGACTACTTTTTCCTCTGCTCAGAGTCCTTCAATAGCCTCCATTTCTCTTTGAGTAGAAACCGAAGTTCTTCAGTGCCTACAAACCTCTGCATGAGCTGAGCTCCCACATCCTTGGTGCTTCTTTCCTTTTGATCCTGCCCTTGTTCACTTGCTCACCACGTTCTAGACACACTGGCCTCCTTAGTGCTTCTGGAATGTTAGACACACTTCTGCCACAGGGCCTTTGCACTGGCTGTTCCTTCTGCCTGGAAATACCCGCATCACTGACTCCCTCACCTCCTCAAGCCTTTGCAGTTGTCATCTTCTCAATGAGTCCTTCTCTGACCACCTTACTGAGGGTTAAAACCACCTCTCCCATCCCCTTTATCCTGTTCTTTCCCCCTATTTTTCTACAGCACTTATTATCTAATACACTATGTAATTCGCTTTTTGCTTATGTTTAATTTTTTACTGTCTATCTCCTCCTGCTAGAACCTAAAATCTAAGAGGAAGAAAAGTTGTCTTATTTGGTGAAGAATCCCAGTCAGCTAGAATAGTGCCAGACAAACGTAGGCACTTACTAAATATTTGCTGAATGCATGAGTGATCAGGGTTCAGAAATGGTGGTTGCCAGCTCTGGGTTAATGTGATGGGTTGAATTATGGCCCCCCAAAAAGACATGCTGAAGTCTTAAACCCCAGTATCTCACAATGTGACCTCACTTGGAAATAGGGCCCTTACGGAGGTAATCGAGTTAAAATGAGGTCATTAGGGTGAGTCCTAATCCAGTGGGACTGGTGTCCTTATAAAAAGGGGAAATTCGGACACAGAGATAGACACGCACACAGGGAGAACACCTTGTGAAGATAAAGGCAAGTATCAAGGTGATGTATGGACAAGCCAAGGAAGGCCAAAGCTTGCCAGAAAACACCCGAATCAAGGCAAAAGACATGGACAGATTCTCCCTCACAGCCCTCGGAAGGAAACAACCCTACCCACACCTGGATCTCAGACTTCTGGCATCCAGACTGTGGGCCAATACATTTGTTATTTTAAGCCACCCAGTTTAGGGTCCTCTGTTATGGCAGCTCCAGGAAACTAATACAGTTAGTCTCTAGATATTTGGGTAGATCCAAGGGAGATTTGGAAAGTAGATTAGATCTGGAGGTGCCTGTCCACTAAAGCGATACACAAACAAGGTATAATAATTAAACAAGAACATGTCCTCCAGGATTAACCCTGTCTGCCCCAAGGACTCGGTAGGACAATTGCTGAATTCTGCCTTACCCCTCTCTTCTCCATCCCACCCCTACCCCTCATCATCACCACACAGATACTTCTGGTCTAAGTCATAGGGGAATTCCTAGCTTATTTTTCCCGTGAGGCATTCAGCTGGGCAGCACTCTGCTCCTCCTGAAGGTCCTTCTCCAAGCCTGAGCTTGTCCTTGCATCTAATCAACTCATCTGCTTTCTGGAAGATCAGGAACCTCTCTGGCACAGGGATTTCAGTTTAAAAGAATTCTGTTCAGATAGGTCACTCATCCTCCAGGTCCCTCCCCCGCCCCAAGAGAACTGGGAAGAGCGGGTGTTGGTGTCCTTCCACAGGCCCTGTGATCACTCTGGCCCAGCAGGGTCAGTGGACATTGGAAAGAAAAGGCTCCTGACTTTCCGTGAGGATAGTGGTTGTGTGTACTTTGGGGGTTTCCATGGCTTTCTATGTTTGGGGAATGAGGTTCCATCTACTCCACTGCTTAGGGTTTTGTAAGGTGATTTAGACCACCACCTGGGCCTCTGGGCTTCAGAATTGCTAATAGCCTAAAAGAACTGGTCCTAGGCACAAGGAAGGTAAGGGTGTCCTGGAACACAGGCAGAGAACCAAGGCAGGGAGTTAGAGAGTAGGCTTGAAAGGCTTCGGCACTGGGGAGGGTCAGCCACCAGAAAGGGTGGAGAGGGCAGGGTAAGATCCCAGTCCTGAAAGAACAGGGCAGCAAGCAAGAAGCCAATTCTTCCTTGCTGGAGTAGGACACAAAGGAAAGGACTTGGTATCAAGAACAAACCAAGATCCTGGGGATAGAACTGTGGGTCATGGCCAGAGATTCTGGCAGCGACACTGACTTAGGGGTGAATTCACAGATCCTCTTTAAAATTACATTCGGTTCTGAACCAGACTCGTGGCAGAGCCAATCCTTTATGAGACACATGTTAAGCACCTGTGATATGTTAAGACTTGTACTAGGCGCTGTGGGGCAAGGAGATGACAGTTATTGTTCTCAAGGAGTTCACAGTTTAGTGGGGCAGATATTAAAGATAAGTCAGTGACAATGTAGCTTTTTAAGTATGAAGGAGAAGTGTGACAGAAGAAGGCAATGTCTCAGTGATTAAGAGCTCAGGCTCTGGGTCCAAGAGATCCCAGTTCATGTCCTGCCTCTCCAGTTACAGACTATGTGATCCGGAGCAAGTCACTAAGCTTCTCCAGGCCTCAGATCCTTTCCCATAAATGGAAATAATCATAGTGCTTACCTGCTTTATAAGAGTCTTGTGAGGATCAAATCAGATCACATATGCCTGGCACCTAGTAAATTCCCAATAACATTGACTATTATTTATAATAATAGTTATTAATACTGTTATAGTTGTCTGGGGGAAGAAAATGTCAGGAAATGTTTCCAAGAAAAGGGGGCATTGGAGCTGAATATTGAAAAATAAAGTGAAGTTGGCTGGGTCTGGGGTTGGGAGGATGCTAATGAATTGCTTTTGTTTCCTAATTATGCCCTGCCAGATTCTTCAAACGATTTTAGGTAGGATGATGAATTCAGTGTTAGCCAAATTGAGTTTGAGATGCTCTGAGCAACACAAGATGTTTGACCTCTTCATTCCAACCCTACTGTAACACCAAATCTTACATATTTGCCCCATTAATGATTGTAGCTCCATGAAATGAATACAACTAAATCTTTTTTCTACTTGATTTTCAATACTACAGATGGAAACAACACAAAATAAAATTAATGAAGCTAAAATTGCACCCAGTAAACTTTGTTTTGATTGAAAAATTGACATTTAAGTTTTCTTAACCCAGGAAAACTGGCCTTGAAGGAGAAAAGAAAAAGGGGCCACAAAAGAAAACTTTAGGTGAAATTATAATAGGCAAGATTTGGTAGGGAGAAAAATAAACAAAATAAAACTGATTAATAATAAACCAAATCTTTGTTGTAAATCTAGAAAAGAATTAACTCAAAAGAAAGGAATTTCAATAAAATAAAAATTTAAATAAAGGTTAACTGTACTCTATAGGAAATTAATATAGAAATTAAACGGTCATAGTCAAGTTTACTCCAAAAGATTCCTTTTGGTTGAAAGCCTTCCGCATTGATCTAATTCTTATGAACATGTTTGCATTCATAAAGTAGAATCAAAACATCATTGGGTGCAAAATAGTGGGTCAAAATCTCCAGGGCTTGCCGGTGAGATCCAGGTGGGTGGGTTGAGGAACCAGTTGGAACTCTGTCTAGAGCTTAAGAAGTCAGGGTACAAATAAGGATTTTGAAGTCACCACCATGTAAGTATTCATTTATTTTCTTTTGCATCTTCCATAAAATAATAATGCAGAGTAAGAACCTAATAAATGCTCGTTGAATGTTAGATTCTCTCTGGTCAGCCCTACAAGCATTGTGAATGGAGGAATTGCACCTGTAGAGTCAACATCTTAATTTAGCACTTACCGAATACAAAAATGGACTCTCACACCTTTGAGAATAATCAGAGCGAAACTGAGGTCCACCAAGACTTGGACACGTGGAGTGTAAGCACAAGTCCTACCAAGAAATATACTATTTCCAGTTCATAAGATGAAATATTCTTATCCTTGTGTTCCTTATCATTCACCAAAGATTTCTTCTTCTTTTAACAATTGTTATCTTTCTTTTTAAATTTGTGTCTATAGAGTTCTTCATTCTCCACTTAGCAAGGTCATGGAGGATCTAGAGGAAACATTATTTGAAGAATTTGAGAACTATTCTTATGCCCTGGAATATTACTCCCCAGAGGCTGATTTGGAGGAGAAAGTCCACCTGGGAATTGCTCACTGGGCCTCCCTGGTGCTATACTGCTTAGCATTTGTGCTGGGCATCCCAGGAAATGCCATCGTCATTTGGTTCACGGGATTCAAGTGGAAGAAGACAGTCACCACTCTCTGGTTCCTCAACCTGGCCATTGCGGATTTCATCTTTCTTCTCTTCTTGCCCCTGTACATCTCCTATGTGGCTATGAATTTCCACTGGCCCTTTGGCATCTGGTTGTGCAAAGCCAATTCCTTCATTGCCCAGTTGAACATGTTTGCCAGTGTGTTTTTCCTGACGGTGATCAGCCTGGACCGCTATATCCACTTGATCCATCCTGTCTTATCTCATCGGAACCGAACCCCAAGGAACGCCCTGATTGTTATTATATTCGTTTGGCTTTTGGCTTCACTAATGGGTAGTCCTGCCCTCTACTTCCGGGACACTCTGGAGTTTGATAATCACACTCTTTGCTATAACAATTTCCACGAGCACGACCCTGACCTCATTGAGATGAGGCACCACGTTCTGACCTGGGTGAAAGTAATCATTGGCTACCTCTTCCCTTTGCTGACAATGAGCATTTGCTACTTGTGTCTCATCTTGAAGGTGAAGAAGCGAAGTATCGTGATCTCCAGTAAGCATTTCTGGACCATCCTGGCTGTGGTCACGGCCTTTTTGATTTGCTGGACTCCTTATCATCTGTTTAGCATTTGGGAGCTCACGATTCACCACAATGGCTCCTTCCACCAGGTGCTGCAGGCTGGAATCCCCCTCTCCACCAGCTTGGCGTTCCTCAACAGTTGCTTGAACCCCATCCTTTATGTCCTAATTAGCAAGAAGTTCCAAGTGCACTTTCGGGCCTCGGTTGCTGAGATTCTCAAGAACACCCTGTGGGAGGTGAGCTGCTCTGGCACAGTGAGCGAACAGCTCAGGAGCTCTGAGACCAAGCATGCACATCTCCTGGAGACAGCCCAGTGAATTGTTCCTCTCCCACAGATCAGTAGAAGGCGCTTGTGTGGGTCCCCGTACACACAGTTTCAGCTTATCCGGTTGCAAGATACAAGACCTTATCTTTTTGTTGTTTTTGGTCAGTTTATCGGCATCACACTTTTGTGTGAATATAAAACTTAGGAAGGATCTTCATTGTTTTCCCTGCAACTTACATTATCTGTGTCATTCTTGCTAATCATACTATAGTGGATTAATCAACACATTATTTTTTCAATTTTAATAATTTTTTAAAAGTCCCAAATCTTAAATATATGACTAATTTCAAAAAATGTTAAAATGTTTGCTTAAGATCCTTTCATTTTCAACAAGTAACCTATCAGACATATTCTTAAAGTGCAACATATGTACTCAATTCCTTTATTTCATGTAATCTGTGTACATACATTTATGAATTAAAGCAATAGTTGGTTATAGTAGTTTAAAACATTGTTTCAGTTAACTATTAATGCTTAGTTACCTGCCCCAAGATCTAGTTACTTAAAACAAGAATTTATTGTTAGACTTCACAATTCCGAGGTCAGAAATTCAAGCAGGGCACAGAAGGGAGGGTGGTCTCTCTGCTTCACGATGTCTGGAGTGTCAGGGGGACTGGGGTGACCTCAAGGGCTACAGTCTGAACAGCTGGGGACCAGCTGAGCAGCACTCTCCCCTCCTCTCCCCCTTCCTTCTCCTCCTCTCCTTCTCTCCTCTTTACTTTCCTCTTCTTTCTCCACACAGGTACTCTGGCATGGCCCCTCAGGGTGGCCAGACTTCTTAGATGGCAACTTAGGGCTCCCAGAGACCAAGGTGGACATTTCTAGTCCTCTGAAAGGCTATGCCAGACCCTGGCACAGTGTCACTTCCACCATATTCTGTTGGTCAAAGCAGTCACAGGTCAGCTCAGATTCAAGGGGAGGGGACATGAACCCCAGTTCTCGATGGGGACATACTCCCATCTCTAATCCCCCACGGTATCATTATAAATAGAAATGTTCTTGGAAAATTTTGGGTAAGTGCAAGTATGTGTAAGATGGCTATAAAAATGAAACATTGACATCCAGATAGTAGGTAGGTCAGCCCAATCTTAGAATGATTTGAGAAAAAGCAAGCATGTATGACATTGATGTATTTCCAGCTTCTGTTCCTGTAACTATGGACACCAGTATAAGACCAGTAAAGTACACCTTTAAGTCAGTGACCTCTTCATGGTGCAAATCTGTTGCATTTTAGACTGTAAAGCATTTGACCCCTATTCATTTCTCCCTTTACCAAATAGATGAGCACCTAAGAGGTACACAGAACCATAGGAGAGAGATGCCAAAACGCTTGGGGTATTTACATGTTAGACAGTGAGTCACACCCACACAAAAAGGATTCTAGAACAAAGGGACAGTAATAAGTGCCAAGAGAGAGCCAGGAAAAGTGCAGGTTGTTCAGAAAGGGAGATGGCATGCAGTTGGAGGTGAAGAAACACTGTGAATTTGTGTCCTGCCTCCGGGGTTCCCTAAGGCCCCTGCTCCTGCCCCCCGTCTCCTCTGGGACCCTTGTATGCATTCAAACTCTGCTATCACTGTAATTTTTAAAACATATTTAATTTTCTACAATTTCTCAATTTTATTTAGAAAGTTGTGAGGGGAGCCATGTTATTTTTTGAATCGGTATCCTTTTTTATTTCATCTCCTAGTTTTTGGAAATGCTAAAATCAGATCATTTATTGGCTATGTTCTTTACTGTTAGCCCCATGCAACAACTAGACCTGGTTTTGGGAATTATTCCAAGAAAATGGGTGGCATAGCTCAGCATATCCCAAACTTCTGTCATTCCCAAACTTTATGGTTTCTGCCAAATCCAGGACGGGGTAGAGAAGGCAGGAGAAAGGATCATCGTGAGTTTCTGGCTTCTGAACAGCCCTTGAATGTGCCCCCTCCACCAGCAGGGTTCGAGATGTTCCACTCTGTGTTCCCGTTGGCCCTTGTTTCCCAGAATCAAGAGAAAAGCTGGAGGATCCATGACAGAGGTTCCGTGGGCTCATCCTTAGTTTGGGCAAAGGGGGAGACTCTCAAGGCTGACAGAGAAGGAGGAAGGCTGAGGAGCAGGAAGAGGAGGAAGCCACCAAGGGCAGGAGGAAATGACAGAGCAGGTGGTGTTCCAGAAGCTGCACCTCAGGGCGGCGCTCGCTTCCTGGCCTCTGTGGGTCAGGGAGCAGGTGGAGCTGCTTTTCTCATTCCACTCAGCAGGCACAGCATCCTGGCCTGTGAGTTTTCAAGGGCCGATGAAAATATTTGACTTCTTAAAAAATATTATTGGCTCTAAAATACAAGAAGGAAGCCTGAAAAGTCACAATTAATAAATACTTAATTACATGCCTACAAAATATGCCTTTATATCAGTTAATCAAATGAAGTATTTTGTAATTATATAAAAACTCATATACTTATATAATATGGGATTTCAATATGTTTCCATGTTTGATATGAGGACTGGGGCTTCCAAAAAAGAAAAATGCCTTAAGGTCTAGAAAGGTCTTAGAGGAACTCTGAATTCATTTGAGAATCCAATGAAAGTAATGGGTCCTTACCCCAGAAAAATGCTTTTAAACAATACTTCAGGGAGTCTTTAGACCCCAGACTAAGAATTCCAGTTTCAGTGCCTTTTAACACAGCTGATAGTGGGCATGTAACAGGAACCCACCAGGAGAAAGTAGCAGCTGGTGCGGGCAACCTCCCAGCAGAGAGTGGAGTAAATGTTTCTCAGCTTCAAGGAAGGGCTTGGCAACAGCAAGCCTCGCCCAGCAGCTGGAGTCTCCAGCGGTGTAAGGACCCAGAGCAGGATGATGACTGAAAGGACAGAGGGGATGGAGAGGGGACGGGCAAGAGGGACGGGGGAGGAAGCGAGGGAGGGGAGTGAGGATCCCCAGGTTCCCAGTGCCCGGGCCAGCCTCAGGGAGACAGATGTGTCTCCTCCTCAATAGGAGGCAGCTCTTCCAAACAAAGGGCAAGCCCCAGGGCTCCCGAGGCAGGGTACCTGGATTTCAATCACGGCCCCACTAGCTCTCAGGCCTGTGGCTTTGGTAAATTAATTCACATTTCTATACCTGTCTTCCCTGTCTGCAAAATGCCTATAGCAATAGTAGCACCTGCCACATAGGGTCACCGTGAAAACTAAATGAGCCGATGCAGGTAAAGCACTTATACAGCGGCGCTTAGCCCTACAAATACCTGATAGATGTCACCCAGCATTACTCAGTGAAACTGCCAGCACCTTCTGACCCAGGACCACTCAGTAAATGGGAGATCCCTCCCTCCTCTTGAATGAACGTGGCATCTCATAGGAAGAACAAGGGAACGACACTAAAAACGAGTTTATAAGTGCTATAAAGAGTTACAGGCTGGTAGGCTGCAAGGGGCAAGAAGGAGCAGAATCAAAGTCTTCTCGAAAGAGGCATGTGAACTGCATCTTGAAGAATGGCCACAATTTTACCAAGTGCCGCTGGGAAGAGGCTGTTTCAGGTAGGTGGCACAGCGAGAGCAAATGTTCAGAGGTTGGAAAACACTGGCTGTGTTCACAAGAGTCCAGTCTCATTTGTGCCATGGGGACAAAGCGAGGACAGAAGACTCACAAGTTAGTGCCAGGCTGAATAGTACTCCAGTTCTTCAGTATTCTCCCACATGGCAGTGCCGCTTTTTAGGGTGCAGTCAGAAGTCTAGGGACATTTCCCTCTGATTTTTACTTTACTGAATGCCATTCAAGCCAATGACATTCCAAATAACAGATTCTTATTGGGGACGTTTCCCGAATGCAACTCTTATCATCCATGCAGAGCAGCTAACGGGAGAATGCCTGTCAATCAGTCTCAATTTCCATTTTAAGTCTACCCCTTACGTGACATTACCTTCTCTCATTTATTGAGGGCATGAAGCAAGGGTCACATTGAAGGAACAGGATTTAATTTTCTAAAGGCAGGGATGAAAAACTTTCCCATTTGATTGCCAGCACATTGTCCAGCCTATGAAGAGCTGGGTCCTAGTTCCTCCTCTCACTCACTAGGTAAACACCCGGGCAAGTCGTCTTGCAGAGTCGTTTCCTCATCTGCACATGGCGAGGACAGCGTCTGCTTTGTTCATCTCACAGACTTATAGTGGGGGCAAATCAGACAACGGGTATGAGGCATATATTGTTTTACTTTTTTATTTTAAGGACAGTAATTGCCAGTGCCAAATTGCATTTGTTTGGAAAAATATACATAAATGCATCTTTAAACACTAATGCAACTCTTTGTATTTGTGTCTGCCTATAAGCATATCTTTTCATAGTAATAGTCAATGAAAAATCAAGAGTTTTTCAATTTGCTATAGTCTCCATTACTTTTTAAATTATATTAAACTGATAAAATACTTCATTGAGTCTATATGCCACAACTTAGCCATTTCCATTTATGTTATGGAGCAGTCCTTTCATCTCCCTGCTTCCCTCCACACCATCTCCCTGAGAGGCCTGCCTTTGTCTTGTCAGCCCGTCTTGGAAACCGTCAGGGCTCCCCATCACCCTCTCAGAACGTGCCACCCTGTAATTTACACGCCTCTACAACTGGCGCCACCCTAACTAACCCCAGACTGAACTGCAAACCCTGCCAGACAGGTCTAAGGGCGGCCCCCAGCTCTGTTCTCACCCCTGCCCTTAGTACTCCGCCTTTCCTACCCTCCTGCAACATTCTCTCTTTTTTTAATGAATTGCTGATTCAGGTCCATCCGGCTCAATCCCTCTAAAAAACTTTTATTCAAGTCTAAGCTTCAATCACCCTCTGCACTTTTGGATTACTTGCTCAATTACAATGACTTTTATCCTTAACAATTTTATGTGTTTGAACCACTTCTCTAGAGTCATTTTCTTAACTCCCCTTTGTGTTTTTACAGCATCTAACAGTGATACTGAATGGACCAGTTGTGAATTCCCACAGTATGCCCAGCCCTGTGCTAGGGGTGCTGAATATGAAAAACAAACAAGGTTTCAGAGTCACTGTCATCACTTGCCATGGAGCATGCAAAAAAAGACAGGCTCTTTTATTTTTTGTCTTCCACTTCACAGCCAGAAACAAAAACATCTCTTTACATATACCCATTTCTGGGCCCACTGGTTCAAGAATGGTTCATTCAGTACACTGGCTCACAGCCAATGTGAGCACTGCTCATTACAGCCCAAAATTGGAAGCAACCTAAAGATCCAACAAATAGGCTTTGCTTAAACAAGACAATGGGTTAAGACAAAGGAGACAATGGGTTAAGCAACTGTTAAAACGTGAGGGAGCCTCCTAAGTACTGATAAGGAATGTCCAAGATAGAGCTCATCTCCAGAACAGAGAGAGTGTCTCCGTGGACAGAGCGCACGGGGCAGTCCGTGTTGTGTGCTGGCCAGCCTGTGCATGTGCTTACACTAGGACTGCGAGGACCTGAGAACCTGCGAAATTGGTCGCTTTTACGGAAGTGGCGGGAAGCCTGTGGGACAAGGGAGACTTCACTGAACAACCTCTTGAATTTTGAACTATGTTATTATATTATCTACTTTTTAAAATTAAGATACCATTAAATTTATTTTTTATTCAAGGCCATGGAATCAAGACTTTAAAGTCACATGCTTCATATATTTTAAGACTTACAAGACAGCTGTAGTCTGAATCAGCTGTTCTAAATTTTTAAAACTCCTTTTACCTTTAACCAAATTTTTCAGTTTTTTGTTGCTAATAGTTTTCATCAATACTTAACATTTTGGTCAAGCCATTTGGTACTCACTCCCTTTACCAGGTCAACCATGGTGAGTTATTCGAGGCTACTTACTACTCATAGTTACTGCATCCCTGTCCACAGCAGCACTTCCAGAACACCCACGCTGTTCTCCAGAAAGCCAGCACTGCCCTCTGCCGGCTCTCATGATACTGACAACCTGAACAGTTCCCGTGATTTTAGACTGGACCTGCTGGACTAATATCGTTTAGTGAAGATGCTTTTATTCATCAGTACACACGTCTGATTAAATAAATTCCCCTCAGAATTTACCAATTTCCCACATTCAAGGTAGTCATATAGAAACAAAATCAAACTGAGAACCAAAAAACTCAGCATCGCCTGGCTTTGCTAGGAGAATTTGCACCTTAAACAAACCATTTAATCTCTTTGGCCTACAAAGAGATTACAAAGACTACAAAATGAGACCTTCGGAGGTCAGCGATTCCCAAACTCTTTTGTAAAACCTGCCACAGTAAAAAAATAATCAAGTGTGCCATATATCCCCAAGTGACTGTTAAGATGCAGCTGTTCGCAGTCTGACCCTCACTGCAACACACTGCCCTCACCTGGGCACACTTAGCTGCAGCACCACCTCAGCACTGAGGTCCTGTGTAGGCTCAACCCATTTCCAGACGTAACTACCGTCCCACCTCCACACCCAAGCCAGGCTACGCCCCACAGCCCACAGCCTCCCTCCCAAGACACTCCCGACACTTAGAACAAATTTCCCCTGAACAGTATGAGGCATTATTTTAATTTGCATCAGCCTTGACAAACTCATGACAAATTCTGGGAATCCGGGTTCCCTCGAGGTTAGGGTTCTTTACTAATGCTGCACAGCCCATCTCGTAACACGTTATTTTCAGGTGGGATTTATAGCTGTGCGATTTTTTAGTCACAAGTAACCCCCCAACTTGAAAATGCTAGGTTACAACAAATTACTTCACTAGCCATTTAAGTCACTGAATGGTCTTAATCCTGGCATTTAATCCCTTTATCTACAAATGTTTTATTAGCTATCTGGCAAATAAGCGACAATATTCACTACGTGCCTGGTATTGTCCTAAGCACTTTAACTGTATTGACTCATTTCTCACGATTCTTTTATTCCCAACATTCCCATTGAGGAGAACCAGCTGAGATAGCATATAACTTTGAAACCCCTTGCAAAGGCCAAGGTCAGAACCATTATAAACCCACAGGCCCAATCACCTAAAATCAAAACTCCATACAATGCCCAGGGGCCAGCCGGGTGGCCGAGTGGTTAAGTTTGTGTGCTCCACTTTGGCGGCCTGGGGTTTCACTGGTTCAGATCCTGGGCACAGACATGGCACCGCTCATTAGGCTGTTTTAAGCCGGTGTCCCACATAGCACAACTAGAATATACAACTATGTACTGGGGGGAGTTGGGGAGAAAAAGCAAAAAAAAAGCAAAGCTTGAGCCTGGCAACATTGTTAGCTCAGGAACCAATCTTTAAAAAGTCCACAAGTGAAGTTAATCTCCCTGATTTCTTTTAAAAACGAGGCAAAGATGGAAATTTGAAATATTGTGGTAAAAGCAGTACCATCATGTTTACCGAGGACATCACTAATGGGTACAGAAATTATACTAAAAGTGAGTCCACTGCTATCAATTTGTTTATACAATCCAATCGATACCTATGTATATTTAAGGTATTGGTAATAGTTTTCTCCTTTTTGGGCTAAATGTCTAACGAGAATGCTTTATGAATTACCCATCCACTGAATTTCCTGCCGCAAAACAGAAAGAATATAAATAACACCCTCCTATGTACAAAGAATTGTCTTTCAAGCTTTTATTTAAGAGCAACGATCCACGACGGGTTTTAGATCTTGTTGAAAGCGGCCACATCCATGGACTGCACATAGTCCTCAAAAGCAGTGATCCGCTCCTCCAGCATATCAGTTCCAACTTTATCGTCTTCAACTACACACTGTATTTGAAGTTTTTTAATTCCATACCCCACTGGAACTAGTTTAGCTGAAAAGAGCATTAAGAAAAATCTTAGTTAGAACCGTCCTGATTAGTCAAGGTTGAAACTATATGTGAATTCCAGACGTCAGTTTCAAAAAAGCAAAGAGTAAACTCACAGGAGCCCCAGACCAAGCCGTCTGCTTGAATGCTTCTGACGCACTCCTCCAGCTTTGCCATATCTGTCTCGTCATCCCAAGGTTTCACATCTAGTAAGATGGAAGACTTGGCAACAAGTGCAGGTTCTAACAAAAAAGTACAAGAAACATTATTCAAATGCTGAATTATATTTTTTTACCCTAGTCCAAGAAACTTAACAAAATCTGTTTCAAACGCATCATCTCCTCAGCCACACCAAACTCACACATCCTGTGTTTGTCACACACATGCCCGCTTTCTGTTTTGCTAAGAAAGCGGTTTCAATCGTGTAACAGTTTCTCTCCCACAGAGGAATGCCACAGCTGCTGCCGTGAGAACAGCTGCGGCCCAGGAGCTGTGGGGACAGTGGGAGCCACCCCTACAGGGGGCTTCAAACACCGACCTGCTCCACCAACATGGAGGACATTACTCCGGGGATCAACCTTTGACAAAGATCACTCAGATTACTGTGAAAGGATCAACTCAAATTATCAAAGGACCTACTCTTGGCTTTCTTTGACTCATACTGTGCAAGGCGTTCTTCTCTTAGCCTCTTCGCTTCTTCACTTTCCTGCAAAGAAAAAATTGATACATTTCACAAAGCTGGCTGTTCCTCAGCTTAAAGCTGGTGGGGTCTACAACGAAGACCAACTGTATCAGAAAAAAGCAAATCCATCAGGAGCTCAGCCGAAAGATGGTGATTTGATTTTATTCATCATGTAACAGGTGACAATTCTTAAAAGGCAAGTAATAAAGTGAGGCCAGGATTCAAACCCAAGCAATGTGGCCACAGAGCCTGCGCTTAAGCACAATGATCCACACACAGCCCATCGATTTTGCCTACCTCCTCGTCATCAGACCCAAAGAGATCTATGTCATCGTCGTCTTTACTATCGGTAGCTCCACTTCCTGTGGTGTCTTCCACATCCGCAGGACCATACTTGCCCAAAGCTTTCTTCACTCCTGGCAGACTTGAAAAAAACGTAAATTCAACGACTACTAAACCACTTATCCACAGACCCCTTTTGGACTAAGAGCATACCTACCCTTCAAAACTCGCAGGGGGGCAGTTTCACGTGCTTTAACTCCTCCCCCGGCAAACATTAGGAGCAAGGAGGACGCCACGATTGTTCTTTCAGAGCGGAGACTCGTGGGACAGCTTAGGCACGCTCAGTTCCTTCCCGAGTGAACCGGAGCCCCCTTCCCCACACCTGCAGCCGCACTGGCAGCTTCAGAGGAAGGGCCAAGGGCTGAAGGAGCAGCCCCCTCCCCGCAGCGGCGGGCCCTCAGGTCAGGATCAGCGGCGGGGCGGGCCCGCTGAGCTGCTGCTGTCCACGTTCCACCTGCTCCGCGAGAAGACGGAGGGCTGCAGCCTCCCGGCCTTCTCAAGCCACAGACGCTCAGTGATAACTTCCCCAGGAAATAAGGTGAGCCGGGTCCCGTTAGTCGCGGAAAAGGCCAGCCTTGTGACCAGGGAACCAGGCACAGAAAGGGTCGCTGAGGATCTGACCGACAACTACCACGGTCTGCCAAACGTTTTGCAGAGACGGAGAAGCCATGCCCCCTTCTGCAAGTGCTGCTATGCTACGGAGAAACTCACGTCTGCAGCAAGACCCTGCAGAGCGTTCCAGCGGCACCATCAGCGCCCCGCCCCTGGGAGGGCCCACCGGCCACTTTCCGAGCACGTTTCCGCGCCGCAGCGCCCCGGCCAGCAGACAGCCCGCCACGCTCTGCCCGCGCCGAGCTCGCGCCCCGCCCCCGCCGCTCACCTGGCCTTCTCCTTCTCGTACGATTTGATGTGGTTGTACCAGCGCAGCGCGTGGCACAGGTCGGCGGGGGGCGGCCCGGAGACCGCCTCGAACACGGCCACGTCCGCCTGCGACGGCACGAACCTGCGGCGAGAGTCACGCAGGCTTCAGCGCCCGGCCCGTCCCCCGGGCCCGCCGGCCGTCACCGGCCCCTCGCCCGCCCGCCCTCCCGGGGACCTAGGCCGCAGGCACTGCCCGCGCGGAGGCCCGGCGCCCGGGGGAGCCAGCGCGGGAGGCCGCGTCCCCGGCCCGCGCCCCGCGCCCGGCCCTCACCCCTCGATGTAGCTCCGGTCCGCCAGGTAATCGTTGAGCACCTGGAGGCCGGCAGCGCTCCTCAGGTCCCCGAACCCCATGGCGCTGCGAGGCGGGCGGCGCGGCGGCGGAAAAAGGGCCGCAAAAGGCCGGAAAGCGCCTTATATAGCCGCGGGCGCCTCCTTCCGCGCACTGGCCGAGGTTAAAGGTCAGAGTGCGTTGATAGTCTTCGTCCCCAACGTAGACATGGGGGGCTCTGGATTAGGCAGCCCCCAAACTACGCGCGGGCCTTTCTTTGTGTTTGGAAATTAATGGATAAGAAGGGTACTTCTTAAATTTGTGCCGCCACGGCTCCGAAGATTACGGGAACCGCCCCTCGAGGCGCCGGAGATGACCGAAGACGCTCGGCCCCACCCTCTCGGCACTTCCGGCGGAACTGCGGGTCCTGCCCTGCCCGCTCCTCCTCCCGGCCGCTGCGCCCTCCACCCCGCCCCCTGCGCCCTCCACCCCGCCCCCTGTCCGGCTGACGGAAATTGCCGAACTCAGTGTCCGCGGGACGTTGTCGAAGCGGGGATTTGCGGCCCTCTTGGCTTCCCGTTCTCAGGCGCGGTGAGGGAGGGCGCCGAGGCTGCCATATTGAGTAGGCGGGCGGCCGCGGAGGGTCGGTGGGGCGCTGACGGCTCAGCGGGGCGGCGGCGGCAGCGGCGGCTGCAGGGGCGAGGTGAGGTCGTGTTGGGTGCCGGGGCCGAGCTGCCTCGGCCGCGGGGCTGTGTTTCGGGACGAGCTGTTTGCTCGGTCCGGCGCCCTCTTCTGCTCGTGTCCTTGACTGGGCGGCTCTCCCCGCCTTCTCGGGACCCGGGCGCCGGCCCGACGGCGCGGGCACGGGAGGCGGGGACCCGACGACTGCCGCTCTGCGGGCAGGGCGGGCACCCTCCGCGGAGGCGCTCGTGTCGGCGCCTAGGACCCCGCCCGCGCCGCCCGACGTGGCCGGCCGCCTCCGGTCGCGTGCTGCGGCCCCGGTCGTGCGCCCTCGCCGTGCGGAGGCCGGGAGGACGCGCGCAGCCGGCCCAAGGTCGCGCGGGGGACGCCCCGGGGCTGCCGCTCGCGCTGCAGGGCCAGGCGACAGCCGCCTCGGGTCAGAGAGCGTCCCGCCGGCGGCAGCCCGGGGCGAACGCCGGGGTGTCTTCTTGCGGAGCGTTCTTGTCTTCCCCGCATTGTGCGCCCCGCGTTAGGCGGCGTTGGGAGGCTGCCGGAGCGCCTGCACCTTCAATTCGGGGGAGGTGGAAGTTGGGGCCAGAGAGTGCAGATGGAGCTCACTTAGCGAACAGTCGTCCCGCGTCTACCGGAGGCCCGGAATGAGTCCGTGAAGAACTGAACGGGTGACGGCACTGGGCGGGAGTCGGGAAGCCTTGGATAGGCTGGTCGAGGGACAGCTCCCCGAGGAATGGCGTTTAAGCCAGAATTTGAAGGATGAGGAGCGGTCGGAAAGATGCGAGGGAAGAGCGTTTCAGATGAGGCCACGGGCACTGGGAAGAGGGGAGAGGCCGTGGGAACAGTGGGGAGGCCTGGAGACTTGCAGGGCGAGAGATGGTGGCTCGGAAGAGGGCGAGAAGAGGCCGTGCAGATACGTGGTGGGGAACGCCGAGTAGTGTCTCTACCGAAAAGCGTCCAGTCTGGCTTTAGGAATGACTGCTCATCAACGTTGTCCCATCCCAGGGGGCTGTTGCCTTCTTCCCTGGCGGCTAAGTGTATGTGAGGCGCATACCAGAGTTTTGCAGGTCTCTGTTTCATGTGTGGGCTGTACAGTATTCCATTTCATGCTGGATTTTCAACAGGCAGTCGAGTTCTGGTTGATTTCCTAGCTAAAGCGGCCACTACTTTCATATTCTCTTGGAGACAAAGAAAATAATAGTAGTATAGCTTTTACATTGTTGAATGAAATACTGATTCTTGATTTTGAGTTTGTCGTTACTCGCATTCTGCGAATTCAGGTTTACCTTTACCTCTCTATCAATAGATTTTAATAGGAGAGATGCTTCTCATTCTGGAACTTGGTGATAAGACTGTTTGCTGGTTATTTTCCCAAGGACATGGTGCTAGGTCTTCAGAAAAGGGAAATTACCAGAGTGCACCATTCCTTGTCAAGGAGCTTAAGCTTTAGGACATACTCACATTGATTACTAACCTACAGTTTGGTAGGTGGAATAATAAAGATAGGTACACTTTGTGTGCTGATAGTAAAGAGAAGGAGCACAAAAGAACATTTTAAAACTGATCTTGAGGGGCTGCCCGCTGTGGCCAAGTGGTTAAGTTCTCGCCCTCCGCTTCAGCAGCTGGCGTTTCGCCTGTTACAATCGTAGGCGCAGACATGGCACTGCTCAAGGGCGATGCTGAAGCAGCGTCCCACATAGCACAACCAGAGGCACTCACAACTAGAATACACGACTGTGTACCAGGGGAATTTGGGGAGAAGAAAAGAAAAAAGATTGGCAACAATTGTTAGCTCAGGTGCCAATCTTTAGGGGGAAAAAAAACCTGATCTTGAGTGGCTACTGCCTAAATCCGGCCTTAACTGATATTTATTGAACTCCTACTAACAACACATACTCTAGGAAATATAGTTCTCTTCTTGCTCTATAGATAAAGAAGCAGGAACTCGGATTTACCGAAAATCACTCACTAGTAGGTGACAGACCTGAAGTCTGCAAATTCAATACCACAAATTCTGAATTAATGAATTTTGTGAGTTAAGTCTGACTTAATGAAATTTCCTATTATACATCATCCATAATAGGTATCTGGAACTTAATGCTTCAAACTTACGTATATGGAGCTGGCCCAGTGGCATAATGGTTAAGTTCAGCATTTTCCACTTCAGTGGCCTGGGTTCGCATGTTTGGATCCCAGGCGTGAACCTGCACACCACTCATCAAGCCATGTTAGTGCAGTGACCCACCTACAAAATAGAGGAAGACTGGCACCATTGTCTTTACCTTTAAAATTCTTATGTTGATACATTCTGATCACATAGTTTTCATTTTTAGAAGTTTCAAATGAAAAATTATAGTTTAGATGCTTAGCCGGTATGATCAAGTTAGTAGACAAAGTTCAGTGTTTCCCCCATATGATCAAGTGAATGGACAAAAAACTCTAAAAGTTCAGATAACACTTTTTTCTATTTGCTTAGGTATACCTTTAATTGTTGTTATTTATATAATCCACTCCCATTTGTTTCCTAATTCAGCAAACCTTTTAGAGCAGGGTTTCTCAACTTCAGCACTGTTGCCACTTTGGATAATTCTTCATTATGGAGGACTGTCCTGTGCATTGTAGGGTGTTTAGCAGCACCCAAGCCTCTGCCTGCTAGATGCCAGTAGCTTCCCCCGAGTAGTGACAACAAACAGTGCGTCCAGACATTGCCGGATGTTCCCTGGGAAGCAAAATTGTCCCTGGTTGAGAACTGCTCCTAGAGCTTACTGCATGCCAGCCTTGGGGATAGGCTCTGAGGATAGAGTCAGGAAGTTCCTAAGGCGGTGAGGGTAGAACAGACATCTGTAAGATAAATGTACTCAGCACAGAAAATGGCACTCCAGACACAGAGAACGTTAGGATGCATGGTGGTAGGAAACGAAGGCAGAGAGGTAGGCTCTGTTTTACATAGCTATGAATGATAAGCTCACTGTTACTCTTTAAATTTATGTTATTATATAGTAGTGTTTTATGTTTGATCATTTGTTGATAGTTAAAAACAACAAAATTGTCCTCAACATAGAATTAGAAGGCCCAAATTTATACATTAGCTGCTGCGTCTTAGCTCCTTGACATTGTACAAGTCAATTAGTCTCTCTGAGACTTGAGTATTCTCATCTGTGGAATTTCAGGGAAAATATCAGGACTTGTGAATGTTGAATGAAACAATGTACAGTGTGTTAGAACCGTAAAATATTACCAAAAAGTTTGTAATTAGGGTTTTTTTCCTTCTTATAACGTAACTCATTTTTGTTCTGTTCTTAGCAATATGTTAAGGATCCCTGTAAGAAGGGCCTTAGGCCTTTCTAAGTCTCCTAAAGGATGTGGTGAGTATTTTTGTTTTTAATTTGCATTTGTGGGTAGTCGACTTTCATTCTTTGTAAATTTATAAGTCGGTGGAATGTTTCTTTAAAGGCCCCAAACATGTAGTATGTTTTAAATAAAAGTAGAAACAAATGACCCAAATCGAGTAGAATAATTGTCAAAATATAAGTTTACCTTGAATAGTCGTGGAGCGAAGGGAGCAGGAGCTGTCCATCAGCGCCAGAATGGGAATGGCAGTCCTTCTCCTGAAGAGTGGTCCTCCCACGAACATGTTTTCAGTGATGCTAAACGTCTCAGCTTAAATTACCATTAAAAATAGACGACTGTATTCTGTTTCGTATTTAGGATTGGAAAAGCTTCTTTTTAATTGAGTATTTTAAAAGTTCGCATCTAGAGAAATAGAAGGGAATAGTATAAAATGAGGGGAGATTTTAGGCTTGTAGGTTAGAGTTAATCCATTGTTCTCGGCTATAATAAATTCAACTTTGTTCATTTATTTTTCACCTCAATATTTTTGATGGTCAGTTCGAACAACTGCCACAGCAGCAAGCAACCTGATTGAAGTATTTGTTGATGGCCAGTCTGTCATGGTGGAACCGGGAACTACCGTGCTCCAAGTAGGCATACGTTCCAATTCTTTGTTTTTGTCTACTGATTTCTTTTTAGTTCTAATTTTTTTCCTTTATACTGTTTTTTTATTTCTAAAATTTTTAAGATTCCTTGGTAAATGCTCATAACAGACCTGTGGATGGTACAATTACATGAAAATAAGTTTGATTTGAAATCTTGGCATTTCAAAGTAAGCTATCATTTATCTGTTTCTGACTTTCTTAGTGGATGATGGCAGTTCTTTTGTTTCACTTCTGCCTTCCAAACAAATACCCATTAAGAAATTTGAAGTTACCTGAAATAAATTATTGCGTAATAATAGGTAAGTTTTAGTAAAAAGGTAACCTTTGTTTGTTATGATCCTGCTTGATACTTTTCACTTTGATGTAACCTATTTTTAGTAATATTTCTAGGAATGCGTCTTACAAAGCAGGTAAATGGAGAGTAGGACATTCTAGAATTCATGCCCTTAGCATTTAATTTCTCCAAATTCTTCCAGAACTAACGAGTTGGTCATGGAGAAGTGATATTTTGTTTCGTCTCTGCAAGTTAATCAGAGATAAGTCCTCTTTATTCATCTTAGCAGTCATTTCTAGACTATCTGCCAGGCACAGACATGTAAGCAATAAATGTACAACAGAAGTATGTTCAAAGTACAGTGTATTTAAGTAGGTTTAAGAGACGGTAGAAAAAGATGTTAGGGGTGTCTCAGGTGTTCCCTGAGGAGATTTTAAAGGACGAATAGGTGTTTATATATTGACAAGGAAGCTTCCAATAGTTTGGTATTGATGGAGCATAAGATATATATAGAAGATGAGATAACAGGAAATCGAGTTTATTTTGGTAGGGAAGGTCCAGTCATGAAAGAAGATATATGCCATACTAAAGAGCTTGTAGTTTGACCCATCGAGAGTTTTTGTGACTATTAGGCAGTATGACAGTGACTGTAGAGGATGATGATTTGGAGAATAACAAGACTGGAGAGACAAGAAAAGAATATCTTGCCTTAAGGGAACAGGAAATGAAAAGACCAAAAATAGATGGTAGTGATGGGAATGAAAACAAGAGGGTAGATTCAAGGGAGAGCGAGATTTGGATAGACAGATTTTTAAGAATGATGAAGCACAGAGAAATTTTTATGATTTCTGGCTTTGTTAGCTAATTTGGGGATGTATAGGAGGGGACAGAAATAGGCTGAATTTTATCTGTCTATGGAGTATACACATGCAAATACCTATTGAAGTCTAAAGCTTAGAGAAGTGGAGGACTATCAGGGCTGCTGGTGAAGGCTTGGATGCAATCATTATGTGGAATGTGGGCTAGTATGAAGGCTGGAGCAATGTCTGGCTCACTGCTGTACCCCCTGCATCCAGCATATGGGAAGACTCGATACATTTTTGCTAAGTAGTTAAAACATTGGAAATGGGTGAAATTGCCTTAGAGTGAGGGCTGTGGATGGAAGAATGGAGGAAATTTGAATAGGCTCAGAGAAGGAGGACTGATAATTGGTAAAGCAGGACTAGTCTCCCTTACTAGGCAAATGGGAACTGGGAAGAGCTTCAGCCACAGTAGGAGGGTGAGTCCTGGGTGGGGCATGTGGAGCCCAAACTAGAACCAGATCATAGCCAGCAGGATGGTGTGCAATGGAGCCTCTAATCCAAAGGAGGAGAGCTCAGCAAAGAGGAAGTCCAGGTGTGAAGCCACTGGGACACAGTTTGAAGGGGGAGTCTTTGTGGACAGTGGTTCAGAGTAGAAATGGGGACTCCAGCCTTCAGCACAGTAGGAGGATGCTTCCTGCAGTTTCTTCCACGTAAGGGGTAGGCATGCTGAGGATTCTAAGGAGGCAGCTTCAGAGCAGACAGGGGTTACAGTCAAGAGCAGAGAAAGGGAAATCTCTTCCGGAGTGAAGTAAGAATGAACGAAGATATAGATTTTTATGGAGAGGATTAATAAAGTAGGTAGGAGATGGCCTCTTTTTTTTTTTTCCTGCATTTTAGGCAAGACAAGGATGAGATCAGGTTATTCCAATGCAAACGTTTTTTGCTTTGTTTTCTAGGCTTGTGAGAGGGTTGGCATGCAGATCCCTCGATTCTGTTATCACGAAAGGTTGTCTGTTGCCGGAAACTGCAGGATGTGCCTTGTTGAAATTGAGAAAGCTCCTAAGGTACGTGATACCTAAAATTCCACACCATGCTGTAGAAGGTAGAAAACGTTAAATCTTGTAGAAAACATTGAATCTTGCAGCAAAGTTTATTTAGAATCAATGTTGTGGTGCTGGAGAACCTAGCCCTGTGTACTTCTATCTGTAAATTCATTGTTTTGTGCAATTGAGTCTCTTCCTTTCAGAACTGGAAACACATCAATGAAAGTGCTTTATAAAAGCAAGTGCTATATAATTGGAACAGATTTAAACATTAAAGATGACTTCTTAACAGCTGTCCATATTTCCAAGTGGCTGTATGATACACAGCTAGGATGTGGAGTTGCCAAGCGGCACATTAGAAGTGTTTGTGCTATGCCATACTTACTGGAGAAAAGAGTTGAGTGAAGAGGTTCATTTTCAGCTTAATTTCATTTTGTCTTATGCAATTTTGATTCAGCAGTGCCTGCTAATCAAAGCACAGTTATTTGATGTTCTGTATCAGAGCCTCTTATAAAAAATTGCATTGACTATTTAAATAAAATTAAGAAGTAGGATGTCTTATTTGTTTCTAAGAGAAATGTAACATGCCAGATGATCATATTATGAATAGGAAAACTAAAGAATTCAATCTTCAAAAATACTCTGTTCTTTGCTTGCTTTCAAATGTGTAATTTGGTGTTTTTATACACTGGGTAACTTATAATTACAAATAAATACAAGTACTTACAGATTTTTCCATTGAAATTCCAGGTTGTAGCTGCTTGTGCCATGCCAGTAATGAAAGGTTGGAATATCTTGACAAACTCAGAGAAATCTAAGAAAGCCAGGTACTTTATTGTTACTTGGCGTAGTAACTTTCCTCAGAGCAGAAAATTGTAAATTTTTATATTTAGACTTTTCCATAGATGAGAAATTCGGTATCAAACTCTGAAGAAATTGATGTGCTTGGCTTCTAGAGCACTGGGAGTGAGGACGCAGTAGAGAAGACAAAGGCGGGTGTTTATAGTTTTGAGCCTAGAGTGGGATTAGCCTTGAAAACCCTTGTTTAGTAACTTGCCCAGCTTGTGATGAACAGTGAGTCTGGGGCTTACTGAACTGAGATGACTGCAGTGATATATTGCTGTCCTGGACTGACTGTGTTTGGTTTGCATTTGTGTGTGTGTGTTTGTTTGGAATTAATGTGAGTGTTTTCTGAAGACCATTCAGTGACTTTTGGTAATTCTGTATTGTTAAAAGTTATAATTTTCTAGGTTCTCTAATGGTATTTTATTCTAGGTTCCTATAAGCATTCTGTAGATTGTGCTTTTTTTTTTTTTTTTTTTAAGATTTTATTTTTTCCTTTTTTCTCCCCAAAGTCCCCCGTACATAGTTGTATATTCTTCGTTGTGGGTCCTTCTAGTTGTGGCATGTGGGACGCTGCCTCAGCGTGGTCTGATGAGCAGTGCCATGTCCGCGCCCAGGATTCGAACCAACAAAACACTGGGCCGCCTGCAGCGGAGCGCGCGAACTTAACCACTCGGCCACGGGGCCAGCCCCTAGATTGTGCTTTTAATATTACTTAAGTGATAGTTACATCAGCATTTCTGATAATAAATATAAAATTAATACTAACTATATGGGAGCCTACATCTGCAAAGGTTATTTAAATAGCCTATCCATAAACCATTTTTGAGTGCAGGAATTTGTCATTTTATCTATTGCAATTTTCCATACAGAGAGGGTGTGATGGAGTTCCTATTAGCAAATCACCCACTGGACTGTCCTATTTGTGACCAAGGAGGTGAATGTGATCTGCAGGTATGTAGTCTAATTTCGTAAATCTTTTTGATTGTCTCAAATTTTAATTTCGTTAGCAGCATTAGATGAACTCTCTTGTAATCTACTTAAGGACCAGTCCATGATGTTTGGAAGTGATAGGAGCCGATTTTTAGAGGGCAAGCGTGCTGTGGAGGACAAGAACATCGGGCCATTGGTAAAGACTATCATGACGAGATGTATACAGTGTACTCGCTGCATCAGGTGATTTTCTTTCGCCTCTCTCTTCTGAAACATCATTTGTATATTTAATGTTCACAAAATTTTGCGGAATAATAACACTGGAAAGGATGGCAACTTTGGTGAGAGAAGATGTTTTTAATATTTTTTGCATAAACCAATAAAATAAGTTGGTCACTTTCAGTTAATATCAACTTCAGTGGATTTAAAAAGCAAAATCTACAAGCATTAACTCTAAATTGTTGAGCTTTACATCTCTGATTTGTGCAGTGTTCTGTATGTGTGTTATATCTCAATTAAATGCGAACAGTTAGTGAATTGATTTTTGTTCAGGGACTGTGCTTGCCATTGAAAATATATTCCTATCTCTTTACTGTTTTGAAAATCATTTTCTCTTTGTGATCATGAATAGGAAAGCAGGTAATTTTGCTGGATTCGACAGTTTGATCGCACATTTTTATCTTGCAGGTTTGCAAGTGAGATTGCCGGAGTAGATGATTTGGGAACAACAGGCAGAGGAAATGACATGCAAGTTGGCACATACATCGAAAAGATGTTCATGTCTGAGCTGTCTGGGAATATCATTGACATCTGCCCTGTGGGTGCCCTGACGTCTAAGCCCTATGCCTTCACTGCCCGGCCCTGGGAAACAAGGTATTCACTGTTGTATTTTTTTTTTACAGTTTGGTTTTTGTCCTTTAATATGCTACTATTAAAAAAATTGAAGATTCATTTTCTTCCTGAGTTGTGATTGTTTTGGTTGGCTAAGTTTTTATTTGTTTGCTTTAAGTAGAATGGAAGATAAGTGGTTGGATTCGAGAATGAACCTAGGCAAATTAGTTGTAGTTTTCTTGGAAATTAATTCCAAAGTTTTTGTTGTTAGTGCCATCAAGTTGATTCCGACTCCTGGTGACCCTGTGTTTGGCAGAGCAGAGAGCCCTCTTTCTGGGCCGTCCTCTCGCCAGGTGCTCTATCAGACAGTGCTCTGCTGCTGTGCACAGGGTTTTTGTGGCCAGTTTTTTTGGAAGTGGGCAAGTAGGTCCTTCCTTAACCAGAAATTTATTTTATTCAGTTGTTCTTCCAAGGAGTAAAATTGAGTAAAATTGTCTTGATTTTTAAAATTTATAGTTTCCTTTCAGTGTATATTAAGTTTTCAACCATATGGATATATCATAAAGTATTTAACCAGTTCCTATTATTAGCCATTTAATTTGTTTCTATTTCTTTATAAATTTATGGTAAACATTTATATTCATAAATTTTATTTCATAATATGATTCTGATTAAACCAAGAAGTGGAATAGTAGTTGAATATTTTAAGGTCATCAAATTGCCTTCCAATTTTTAAACTCCCACCAGAATAGATGGGAGTATCTTAAAATTCCAGGTTTTAAACCATGTATTTACGTATACAAAAGGATTGGGGGGCAGGGTGCAGGGTGCAGGAGCAGTACAGAACTGAGATGTTTAAGTAGAGTTTTTTTCCTCCTCTCTCTATAATACGTATGTTGCTATGCTTGTTGTCCCAGAGGTCTCTGAGACACTGTTCATTTTTCTTAAATCTTTTTTTCTTTGTTCTTCAGATTGGATAATTTCTATTGATCTATCATCGAGTTCATTCATTCTTTTTTTTTGGCCATCTCAAATCTGCTGTTGAGCCCCTGTAGTAAATTTTTTTATTAGTTGTTATACTTTTCAACTCCAGAATTTCTATTTGGTGCTTCTTTATAATTTCTGTGTCCTTACTGAGAATCTCTACTTGTTGATTCTTGGTTGTCATAATTTCCTTTAGTTTATATGCGATTTTCCTTAGTTTTTTAAACATATTTTAATATTTTTGGTTTTTTTAAATTATTAATTGCCGTAACATTGGATTATAACATTATGTATCTTTCAGATGTACATTGTAATATATTTCAAATTCTGTGTAGATTATATCATGCTCCCCACCCAAAAACTAATTATAGTCTATCACCTCACATGTGAGCCTAATCACCCCTTTTGCCCTCACCCTCCCCCCTTCCCCTATGGTTACCACCAATCCAGTCTCTTTTGCTATGTGTGTGTTTGTCGTTGTTTTTATCTTCTACTTATGAGTGAGATCATACAGTATTTGACTTTCTCCCTCTGACTTATTTCACTCAGCACAGTACCCTCAAGGACCATCCGTGTTGTCACAAATGGCCAGATTCCATCATTTCTTATGGCTGAGTAGTATACCTTTGTGTATATATACCACATCTTCTTTATCCATTCGTCCCTTGATGGGCACCTACATTGCTTCCAAGTCTTGGCTGTTGTGAATAATGCTGCAGGGAACATAGGGGTGCATGTATCTTTATGCATTTGTGTTTTCAAGTTCTTTGGATAAATACCCAGCAGTGGGACAGCTGGATCATATGGTAGATCTATTCTTAATTTTCTGTGGATATTCCAAACTGCTTTCCATAGCAGCTGCGCCAGTTTGCACTCCCACCAGCAGTGTACGAGGGTTCCCTTCTCTCCACATCCTCTCCAACACTTGTTATTTCCTGTCTTGTTGATTATAGCCATTCTGACCAGAGTGAGGTGATATCTCATTGTAGTTTTGATTTGCATTTCCCTGATAGCTAATGATGTTGAGCATCTTTTCATATGCCTGTTGGCCATCTGTATATCTTCTTTGGAGAAATCTCTGTTCAGATCTTTTGACCATATTTTATCTGGGTTGTTGGTTTTTTTGTTGTTGAGCTGTATGAGTTCTTTGTATATTTTGGATATTAACCCCTTATCTGATATATGGTTTGCAAATATCTTCTCCCAATTCTTAGGTTGTCTTTTCATTTTGTTGATGGTTTCCTTTGCTGTGCAGAAGCTTTTTAGTTTGATGTAGTCCCATTTGTTCATTTTTTCTTTTGTTTCCCTTGCTCGGTCAGGCATGGTACTTGAAAATATGCTGCTAAGACCAATGTCAAAGAGCATACTGCCTATGTTTTCTTCTAGAAGTTTCATGTTTTCGGGTCTTACATCCAAGTCTTTAATCCGTTTTGAGTTAATTTTTGTGCATGGTGTAAGGGAATGGTCTACTTTCATTCTTTTGCATGTGGCCGTCCAGTTTTCTCAACACCATTTATTGAAGAGACTCTCCTTTCTCCATCGTATGCTCTTGGCTCCCTTGTCGAATATTAGCTGTCCATAAATGTGTGGGTTTATTTCTGGGCTCTCGATTCTGTTCCATTGATCTGTGTGTTTGTTTTTGTGCCAGTACCATGCTGTTTTGGTTACTATGGCTTTGTAGTATATTTTGAAATCAGGAAGTGTGATACCTCCACCTTTGTTCTTTTTTCTCAGGAATCCTTTGGCTATTCGGGGTCTTTTGTTGTTTTTGTTTTTGTTTTTAAGCAAGGCTTCTTCGGGGTTGCTCCTGTGTCTGCCTGGCTTAGGAGTTAGATAGTGATTGTGCTGAAGTACTTTGAGCCGATAAAGCTTCCGTATTCTGCCAGTGGATCTGTGTTTGGATAGAGGAGCACATTCCAAGTTCAGGCTGTTTTCAGGTCTGCCCAGCCTGTGCTTTCCACTGGGCCCTTCGATCTCAGTATTGTCCAGGAGTCTGTGCATAGCTTGGGCCCTCTCGGTCTCGGCGGCACACATGCACAGCCTCTGCCAGGGCTGCTTGCCTTGACTGTGACTCCAGCCTCAGGCTAGGAGACCCTAGGTTCTCCTCAGCTCAGTGACCTCCAAGGTAGCACTTCTGCAGACAGCTTTGCCCATTGCTCTGAACTGAGTGAGTCTCACCTGCAGGAAAGAAGCGCCCATCTTTGCAGCCCAGCAAAACCCTCCAGTTTGAGGTGGTAGGAAAGGGCATAAGAACAGCCCTGAGCCAGAACACCATTGATTTCCCCTGCTCTTACTCAGAGTTCAGTTTTCTGTGCATAAAAGCTGCTCATGATGTTGTATGCCTCTGGTAGATTTCCAAAGTGCTGAATTGATTGTTTTTGTTAATTTTGTCTAGCTCGATTTTTGCTCTTTGGTGGGAGGATTTGTCAGACTTCTTAATTGGTCATAACTAGAAATCTTGCCCCTCTTTGTTATTTATTTTGATTCTGAAAGTTTCCCAGATTTGGCCATTTGGAGCCCTTTCAGTTGGCTTCTGTATTAGATAACAGGTTTTGTTGTTTTTGTGTTTTTTAGATAACAGTTTTAAAGTCTTCATTTTACATTAGGAATTTATGTGATGTATTCAAGTATGAGGGCTTTTTTCTTGCAATTCCTCTGAGTTCCATTATTTTTAGAAATTCAGAAAGTAATTTTACAGTTTTTTTTGTTTTTGGTAAGCCAGCTAACAGAAACTTTGTCCTTATTCTCAAAATCGACATAGTAAATACATGTGTTTATTTTCTTAGAAAGACAGAATCCATTGATGTAATGGATGCAGTTGGAAGTAATATTGTGGTAAGCACAAGAACTGGAGAAGTCATGAGGATTTTGCCAAGGATGCATGAGGACATCAATGAAGAGTGGATCTCTGATAAAACCAGGTACATGCTATATTGTTTTCCTTAACTTTTACAGTTGATTTAAAGGAAGTGTTGTAATTTTATTTTAAAGAACTATCTTTAATATTTGCAAAGTAATGAATGAATATAGACTAATGAAATCTGGATTGTTTATACAGTGATTTGGACAAAAATGACATTAATAGTCCTGGGTATATCACAGGCTTTCATATTACCTTTGAGAAATACTGTTTTTCCTCCCAGATGGAGAAATTGAAGTAGATTAAGATACTTACTGTAGTTCAGTTTGTTCATTGGAGAAAAGAAGCTAAATATAAGTTAGAGTTTGCACAACATAATTTTGAGAAAATATCCAGGGGCACTCAAGTTTTGTAAATAAAAATGTTTTGGCTTGTTCAGCTATCATATTTTTTTGTGTTGTGATTTTAAGATTATTCAGGTAGCTGAAAATAAATCATAAGAACTCAAACCTTTTAGATGGTGTTTTAGTTTTAGGTGATGTTCATAAAATACTTAATGATCCTTAAAATAATCTGGAATAATTATTTTATTCAAGTATTTATTATTCTTTTTGACACTTTAACCAATACTGTATTTAATTAACATTTCTCTTAGATTTTAAACTTGAAAATTATAGTTGCCTCTTAAGCAAGATTCCACAAATGGTATAATTTCTGTTCTCTAGATTTGCCTATGATGGGCTAAAACGTCAAAGACTTACTGAGCCAATGGTCAGAAATGAAAAGGGGCTTTTAACTTATACCTCCTGGGAGGATGCACTCTCTCGTGTAGCTGGAAAGGTAAAAAACTGAAATATGGAATAAATCGTATTTGTGATTTTCAAGGGATATGTTTGTAGTGAAGAGTGGATGTCTGTCCTTTGCTTCTTTCCTCTTACCAAGCTTACCTTCCATTTAACAAGTGTTTATTGAGAACTATATGCCAGATGTCGTGCCACTTGTAGGGGTATGAAGACCACTAGCACATGGTCCCTACCTCCCACAGTCTTGCGGTCGAGAAAGATGCATAATTGGGCTGCTATGGGTAGTTGTGCAGGAAGTGATACATGAGAGAGCACGTAGGAGGGGTACCTAATGGAAGCTAGCACATCAAGGATGCCCTCCTAGATAAGGTGACTCCTTAGGCAAAGTCCAGAGTGAAGGCGAGCTTCCAGAGCAAGAATGGAGGGCGTGGCTTTGTGGTCAGAGAAGAGCAGCATACAGAAAGGGCTAGCAGACTCCTCAGAACAAGTTGTGTTTAACCATAGCTCCACAGTCTCTATCCTCCAGACCTCATTCTGAGGACCTCTCGTTCCTAATTTAAAACAAAACACCTTCCCTGCAACCTGGTGTTATTAGCCGTGGCCCCACATATACCTGTGCTTCTCACATTTAGATTAATCAATAATTGGTGTAAAACTTTTAGTCAGAAGTTTATTGCTTTTTTTGTACTTGAAAATGATTATCGTTTTGTTTTCTGAGCAATTCATTGTGGTCTTTGGTGAGTGACTGTTTCTTGGTGATTTCCTTTTCATGCATTTCCAGTTGCAGAGTTTTCAAGGCAAGGATGTGGCAGCAATTGCAGGTGGTTTGGTGGATGCTGAAGCGCTGGTAGCTCTCAAAGATTTGCTTAATAGAGTGGACTCTGACACGCTTTGCACGGAAGAGGTCTTCCCCACCGCAGGTGCTGGGTGAGCAGTAGGGAGCTAGGAGCTGGGCTTTCGGGTTTGGTTACAAGTTCTGTATGAATCAACACATCTGTGGCTTCAGTGACTGATATGTGACAACTTGGATTCCCCAACATACGCACCAGTTTATGTTCACAGAGACCAAAGTCAAAGCAGGAATTGGAGAATCTAGTTATTAATAAGTATCTTATTATTATTAATAAATGTTGAGGTAATTTAGGAACACTTCATAAAATTTTTTGTCTGGGAGTGCCATGGGTTTGTTGACATGAGAATATTCTATGGATTGTTAGTGTATTAGTTTTAAAGTAAACTTGCATTTTTTATTTTGTATTTCTAGCACAGATTTGCGTTCCAATTATCTTCTTAATAGTACGATTGCTGGTGTGGAAGAGGCGGATGTTGTCCTTCTGGTTGGTACAAATCCACGTTTTGAGGCACCACTATTTAATGCTAGAATTCGCAAGAGGTTAGTAATAATATTCAGGGTTTTAAAAATATTTATATAATAATCTGGCTTGTATATGAAAAATGACTGTTTTAGCTGATTCCTAATAGTGTTAGAGGGAGTAAGACTCCATCAGATAACTGGAGGGCAGTTTGTTCTAATATGTCCATCTCTCCCCTGCCCCCCGCGGATCTTTTAATTTTTTTATCTTCTTATTTTTAAATAATTCAAGATGCTGGAAAATGGTGGTCTTCGTATACCCGTTTTTGTATACTGTTCACCCAGATTAACCACTGTTATCGTTTTGTCACATTGGTTTTGTTATTCTCTTTCCATTTGTAGCTATGTGTGAATGTAATTTTCTGAATTGTTTGAAAAGTAAGTTGTAGACATGATGCCCTTGTACTCCCAAATACTTCTGTGTGGATTTCCTAAGAACAAGGGACGTTTTCTTAAATAATCAAGAATTGAGTATTAATAGTATAATTTTATTATCTAGTCCACAGTTTGTATTCAGATTTCACCAATTTCCCCCCTAAGCACTTTTACTTTTTATTTATTTATTTTTTTTGAGGAAGATTAGCCCTGAGCTAACATCTGCTGCCAATCCTCCTCTTTTTGCTGAGCAAGACTGGCCCTGAGCTAACATCTGTGCCCATCTTCATCTATTTTGTATGTGGGACGCCTGCCACAGCATGGCCTGACAACCAGTGCATAGGTCCACACGTGGGATCCAAACCAGCGAACCCCGGGCCACCAAAGTGGAATGTGCGAACTTAACCGCTGGGCCACTGAGCCGGCCCCCCCCCACCCACCCATAAGCACTTAGATAATCAATTTTTTCCTGCCCAGGATCCAGTCTGGAGTCACACATTGTAATTAGTGTCATGACTCTTCAGTCCCCTTTTTTGACATTTTGTTAAAGAGCAAAGGCCAGTTATTTTGTAAAATGCCTCTCTATCTTTTTATATCTTAGAGACTTATGAATAGGTTGACCATATAATTTATTGTCTAAACTGGGACACTGTTGAGAGTGAAAGGGGGAGTTGTTAATTACTCCAGGATGACAGGTGAAAACCAGCACTTTCTCAGACAAACTAGAATAGATGGGCACTGAATTTATAACTATTTTTGGAGGAGCTAGAGCATACTTCCCTGTCGTAGATAATACGTATGAATAATGTAGTTTATTTTCATGGACTATGTTTAAATAGCTTTAATGGATAATTCAGAGATAATTGGCTCTGCTATTTAAATATGGCAGAGTGAAAACTACAGATCATTTATTCTAAAAGTATTTATAGCTGGCTTAGAGTTAGCATTATACAGCAAATTAATTCATTGAATTACCTTGGTGTGTACTTTTGCAATATTTTATTTTGAAAGGTACACAATCAATTATATCTGTTAAGGTTTAATGTTCTGTGGGTGCCTTTGTGCTTTTGACATTCTATAATATAAATAGATGTAGTACCTATTGTTGACAAGACCAATAACTATGCCAACTTAGTAATTCAGCTCTAAAAACCTTGTTTTTATTTCAGCTGGCTTCATAATGACTTGAAAGTGGCCCTTATTGGCAGCCCAGTGGATCTCACTTACAGTTATGACCATCTGGGAGATTCCCCCAAAATTCTTCAGGACATTGCTTCGGGTAGCCATCCATTCAGCCAGGTGCTCTCACATTACAATGTATCTACTCTTGTTAATTTTTAAGTATTATTACTGTTTAAATTTATTGTTTTTGTAGTAAGATTATGTGATTACTGTTAAAAATTATAGCAATATAGACAAGAACATGGAAGAAAGTAAAACACTATCCAGAATCCCATCACCCCAGACAAGTACTGATGAAACGTCATAATCATCTCTCTATTCATAGATAGAGCAAGGTGCATGGATAGGCAAACAAACAAACATGAGATCGTACTGTACGTGCTATTTTTACTTACCAGAGTTAATTTTAGTTGAAATTATCATAGAGGAAGTTGAAGTGAAACTGAAAGAATTAAACTTCAAACTTCAGTGAAATCTTCCTTTACTGCAAGCGTTAGCATTCCTAAAAGAAATTTCATCTGTCCTTTTACATGACTTTTTCAATACTGAGTTCTTTATTTACATTCATTTCACTGCTGTCTGGAGTTTATAGTTTATTATTTTTTCGAGAGGGGCTTGTAGGTGCACTATTCTTTGAGTTCTTGCTTGCTTGAGGATGTTGATTTTATTTCTGAAGAAAGCCTGGGCGGGATAGAAAGTCTAGGGTCACACGTTTATTTCCGCTCTGAACTTTATACGCTGCTTTGGTTACTGTAGAGATGTCAGCCATATTCTCCCCCAACCCTGTCCTAATTTTTTTTCCCGTCTAGAGACTTCTTCCTTGATACTTTATACTTGATTCTTTATCCTTGAAATTTTGTAACTTCACCAGAATATGTCTTAATGGTGGTGTTTCTGTATCACTTTTTTATGGGACATGGGGTACCTTTCAGTCTGAAGATTCAAGGTTCTCTTTATTTTACGGGGGAGGGTGTTTGTGTGGTGGGGTCGTGATTGTTAAACCGTGTAAGGGGTTCCTGTCTCTTACATAACGACTGTTCTGGAGGTGGGCAGTGTGACGGGTGATATGGTTCTCCGAGGGTGTCATCCAGGAAGGAGCCTGCCTTCTTGCCTTGCTCTCCTTGTGCTTTGGCTCACTTGTGTGTTTGCATGGGAGCCTCTCCTCTTGGTTCCCAGAGGGCTGCTTCATTGACAGCCTCAGGTGTGGGCAAGAAGAGGCGAGTGCAGAGGACAAAGCAGCCAGCCCAGCCCCTTTGTTGTTGTGAATCGGAAGAACATTATCAGGATTACAGGGATTGAAAATGTTAAGTGTTGTTTATTGAGAAGTATCCTTTCTCTACTTCCCATCCCCATGCCCAGGAACGTGTCACCTTCTTATTAGTGCTCTTCTGGAAAGTTTTCTTCTGTAATGGGTTCAAATGTATTTTCTATTAGTTCTGTTCTCTTCATTAAGAACTCTTAACAGTGTAGACGTTGGACCCCCTTTTCTCTTTTTCCTGTGTGCTTTTGTTCTTTTCCAGTTTGTTTTATATAATTTCCTATAGCCTGTCTTTCTCATTCCTGTCTTTACGTCGTTTTATTTGTTTTTTGTTGTTTGTGGAATGGTGTTCATCTCTAGTTGGATTCTCTTCCAGTTCTTTCCTGAATTCTGTGACGAAAATCTCCATGTGTAATACTCTCTATTATGTCATTCATTTGAGCTCTTTAAGTGAGAAAAGAATATGTTTTTTCATTTTCTTTGAGCCTATTGAAAACTGCTTCTCTGAACTCTTCACATTTCCTTGGGTAATTCCTCCTGTGAGGAACGTCCTCTTTGTAGTGTCTAGGCCTCCTTCTCATGCTGGTTCTTTGATTGGGGGCAGCTGTTTTTTGAGAATGCTATAGAGGATGGGCAGGAGAGTGCACTGTAGAGGCCACAGCTTTACTTCCGGTTTTTCTGTTCTCCACCAAATCTGAGGTTCCCTCTGCTCCTGGGGTGCACTCTCCCTTGGATTTTGGTGTTCAGGAAGTTACTGTGGTTTAAAGCAAAATGCATTGTGATGTAGTGGTCATTTCTTTCCCAGCCTCCTCCTCTGTGTCTGTGGCATGGTCAGTAGATGGAAGACAGTAGACGTGGTACTTTAGCACAGTTTCTTCTGTTACAGAGGACTGTCTGAATCTATAAACATTGCCCAGTTTTTCTGGGACCTACCCATAGGCATTCTGACCAAAGGATATGTGGCTGGGGTTTTCATTCCCAGTGCTTACTTTTAGAAAATATGTTTTATCTGACACTCGTTTAGCCATTTCACAGTAGCATTGGCAAGATGTTTTTGATTAAATCTGTTTGTATGTCTGTCTGTGTGTTGACTAGCAAATCAAAGGCATTCACATTAGCACTAAGACTTAGAACATCATATTGTAGATGCACATTTGATTTGGTTTGGTTTACTTTTACTGTTTTTTAATTAAAGTTCTCCCCTTTTTTTCAATAGGTCCTAAAGGAAGCGAAAAAACCAATGGTGGTTTTAGGCAGTTCTGCACTCCAAAGAAATGATGGGGCAGCAGTTCTTGCAGCGGTTTCCAACATTGCTCAAAAGATGCGGATGAGCAGTGGGGTGACTGGTGATTGGAAAGTTATGAATATCCTTCATAGGTATGTTGAGGAGTTGTTCTATATACTATAAAATTCAAGTAATTTTGTGTATATGTGTTCCTGTTACACTGTCACATTTAGATTTACAAACAACTTAAAATTTAGCAACATTACCTCACTAGCAGATGTGAAATTTCAGAAACCCTTACTTTCTGTGTGAGAAGAACTCAAGATAATAAATAATATTAAAAATATCCAAAATAGCAGTAAGTACTGAGAAAATCTGTATCATTTTAGTATACCTTGGTTCAAAAATTGCAACAAGTCCTCTAACTTTGATTAAATAATAAAAATGTAAGCCAACATGAGAATTCATCTGAAGTAAAGTTTTTTACTATTAATGCAAATTTACTTTATAAAAATTGGACAGAGAAGAAAGTATACAAAAATAGAAATTATGCTTATTCCACAATCTGTAGATGATTACTCTTGCTATTTTGGTGAACTTGCTTCTGGTCTTTTTTTTTTCCCCTTTATAAATATTTTTTTAGTTATATAGTTGAAATCATACTGTGTATACAGTTTTGTGTCCTGATTTTGATCAGTTTTCATTAGCAAATAAGAATTTCCTCCTGTGGAAATGCAAATCAAAACTACACTAAGATATCACCTTACACCCGTTAGAATGACAAAAATATCTAAAACTAATAGCAATAAATGTTGGAGAGGTTGCGGAGAAAAAGGAACCCTCATACACTGCTGGTGGGAATGCAAACTGGTGCAGCCACTATGGAAAACAGTATGGAGATTCCTCAAAAAATTAAAAATAGTACTACCATACGATCCAGCCATCCCACTACTGGGTATTTATCCAAAGAGCTTGAAGTCAGCAATCCCAAAAGTCCTGTGCACCCCAATGGTCATTGCAGCATTATTTACAATAGCCAAGACATGGAAGCAACCTAAGTGCCCAGCAACAGACGAATGGATAAAGAAGATGTGGTACATATATACAATGGAATACTACTCAGCTGCAAAACAGAACAAAATCATTCCATTTGCAATAACATGGATGGACCTTGAGGGAATTATGTTAAGTGAAATAAGCCAGCAAGAGAAGGATAATCTGTGTATGACTCCACTCATATGAGGAATTTAGAATTATGGACTAAGAACAGTTTAGTGGATACCAGGGGAAAGGTGGGGTGGGGGTTGGGCACAAAGGCTGAAGTGGTGCACCTACAACACGACTGACAAACAGTGTGCAACTGAAATTTCGCAAGATTGTAACCTATCATTAACTCAATAGAAAAAAAAAAAGAATGTCCTCCTGTGGTTAGAGATTCTTTATAAATATAAACTTTAATGGCTATTTAGTATCATGTGTATGTATAATTTCTTAGCCGTTTTCTTCCTGTTAACGTGGATTGATGCTAGTCTTTGTTTATAAATAATGCTGTGATGCCCAGGTACCTCTGAACTTTGGATAATCTCCTTTGGGTAGATTTCCAAAAGTAGGACTGTTGGAGTGAACAGGATAAACATTTCTAAGGCTCTTAATGCTTATTTCCAACCTGTTTTTAGAAAAAAATTTTAGAGAGGTTGTACCAGTTTTACATTAGTGAATGAGTTTTCCCATTTCACCTAATCATTTCTACCTTAAGTAGTTTTCACATTCTTCAAATTGTTTAAGGATTGAGGCTAAACACTTTTTTAAGTATAATAGACAAATTTTTTCAATTTAAAAGTGTTCAAATGCATTCTTAAACATTAATTTCAATGTTCTATTTCTCCTGATTGGTTTAATTTGACCTTGTAGATTGTTATGTAAGCATTTCTTTAAACTTTGTATTTTTTAAATAGAGTTTATTTTCATTGACCACCTCTAGATCCTTTGTAGCCACAATTTTTACTTTCTTATTTTTAATTCACTTTTGCATTCATGTCTTTATTCTTACAGTACTTTTTTCTGAATGGGTACCCAAATTAATGACTTTTTAAAAAATTTCTGAACATCTAACTGTCTTTCTGATTCCTTCTCACAAGTGACCCACTTGACTAGGTACACAAATCATAATCTTTTTTCCTTTAATAGTCAGTATTTTTTCACCCTTTCATTTGATAATTTAGAGAGGATCTCGTCTAATCTGAATTTTATACATGATAACCTGATTTTATATATGTATGTGTGTCTGTCTGCCTGCTCACCCTTTGGATTCCTTACTTTTGATGTCCCAAAATTCTACCAGAATGTAACCAGGTCACACTCGTTTGTTGTTCACTACCTTTGTCTGGGAATATCATAGATGCTGTCCATTTTCAAAGTGAAATTTTTGGATCTGTTTTTTTGCTCTTGGTTTAGAAAAAGCTCATTGGTTTACTTTTACATTGTTGTTTGCTCTCATGCAGAAACTTCTGTTTGTTATGCTTTTGTTGGCCTTTCAGACTTTTGGCTCTTCTCTTTTCTCCTATTTTTTCTCACTTCCTTTTTCTCTGTTTAGAGAATATTTCTTAAATTATCTTCTATCATTTTGTGAGTTTTCATTTTAGGGAGCACTGACACTGTTGTAATTTTTAATTTATTAGCTTTGTTTTTTATTTCATTTCATTCTCATCACAAGATTTCCTTTTCATGAAAGTTTAGTTTATTAGGACATATCTTTTAACATCTTTTGAGAACATGAAACAGATATTTTTAAAATTTGTATTTCTTATAGTAAGTCTGTTTCAGAGTAAAGCACATTTTCTAATTGGAGAATCTTTCCATCGGCCCTATAGTTCTTTTGTTTACCTGTCATTTTCGAAGAGGCAAACTCAGGCGTACTCAGTTTGTTTTCTAAGATGCAGTGGGCTCATTTATAAGTTAGTGTGTCTCTGCCCGGATCTTTGTGAGAGAGAGAAACCTCAAAGCTTAGAATAAGGAAAATTAAGAAGAAAACTGGTGGGGTGGGGGAAGAGCTGAGTTTTGAAATTGGGAAGTATGAGTCCTTCAGCTTTGTTCATTTTTAGGATAGGTTTGGCTATTCTAGGTGCTTTGCATTCCATATGAATTTTAGGATCAGCTTGTCAGTTTCTGCAAAGAATTCAGCCGTGAACTTTGGTAGGGCTTGCATTGAACCTGTAGATTAGTTTGCAGAGTATGGCCACCGTAACAACATTGTCTTCCGATCCGTGACCGTTGGATGTCTTTCCATTTATTAAGGTCTTTAATTTCTTTCAGAGTTGTTTTGTAGTTTTCATTGTACAAATCTTGTGCTTCTTTTAAATGTTTTCTAAATATTTTATTCTTTTGATGTTGTCGCATCAGAGAGTTTGACAGAGCAGCAGCATGTAATGGGAGTTGGTTTGACTTGCCCTCCTCCCTAACAAACAGGTGAAAGACCAGCTGGCTTTATGCACAGTGGGCCCTCTGGAGGGCTGCTGTTTGTAGAAAGAGAGCCAACAGTAGCACACTAGAGCAAAGACTCCCAGGCACTCAAAGCGCAGCTATCCCGGGCCTCTTCTCGTGAAGATTATTCTCCGCTTACGGAAGAAGTGTATGTTCACAGAGAAAGTTCTGTCAGGGCCTACACCAGTGTATGAATTACAGTTTGCTCAGAATTAGTTTCACGAGTGTTTACTTTCTCCCTTTTAGTTTTCAAAATCATCTAATTTTTCTCTAATGACTGTATTTGGCTTATCATGTGTTGTATGCCTTACTGTATGGAAAAGAATCAACTCACAACAATTGTGATTGGTATAAAGTTTCGAGAATTACTCCTTAAATATGACCTCATGAAGAGACAGTGCCCTAAGCATCTTGTTTCTTTGGCTGCTATTCTGAAAACAATGGAAGACTGCTCGCTCTGGTTTTGACATCTGCTTTAAATGGGTGAAAAACGTGAGGTAAGGGAAGGTCTGTGACAGTTTTGAGGGAAAGAGACTAGGTATCATTGCAAGAGTCACATTGAATTTTTTGTAACGAAAACACTGCTGATATGCTAAAAGTCCCTAATTGTTTCACAGGATTGCAAGTCAAGTAGCTGCTTTAGACCTTGGCTATAAACCTGGGGTAGAAGCAATTCGGAAGAACCCTCCCAAAGTGCTGTTCCTCCTGGGAGCAGATGGAGGCTGTGTCACCCGACAGGATTTGCCAAAGGACTGTTTCATTATTTATCAAGGTAAGGGGCATTGTGACACCGAAACAGAAGAGAGAGTACATTTTGTGTATTCGAATCAGTACAGCAATATATTTAGTGGATTGAATACTTTCCATTCAGGAATTTTCCACACACACAGCCCAGTATTTTTTTAAATCAAATCATAGGTTTTATTTGTTACATAGTTGATATTGCTATTAAGAATTATTACCTTATGTTCTTTAATAACAAAGAACTAGAAGAAACCTAAATGCCCGCAGTAACAGGAATGGTTAAATTATGGTTATTTATACAATGAAATATTAATGTAACATTAAATGCAGCTTTTCAAAGAATATTTAGGGTTATTATATAATCAGGAGAAAGCACTTTTTATCAACAGTGTAAAAAGTTAAAAAATCATAAGTCCTGTGTTGCAGGGCATTTAATGAATTATATTTAACAGTGCCCTTTTGGTTTTTTGCAGTTGACTCATTTTCTTGAATTCTCATTCATTATAAATGTAATCAGGTTTCTCTGGAATAAAATGGAGTTCAGAATAATCCAGGATATTTTACAGAGAAAAATATTACATAACTTTCCACTTCATTTTACATATAATCAGTATAAATTCATAATAGGCTTTTTGCCTTGGCACATAAAAAGCATTATATAATATTTTCTATCTTTAGTTTGATGAAGTTAAACCAAATGCATAAACTAAAATCCTGTCCCTAGTCTTATCCAGAGATAATCACTGCTGATGGTTTTGATACGCATGCTTCATACATTTTCCTGTGGCTATACAAACATGTACACAAATGAGATGAAACTTTGTTTATTGTTCTGTAGCTTTCTTTCATCTAACTCATTTCTTTTTTCTTCTAGCAGCTTTCTTAAACTATTAATGAGTGATGTCTTTCAGTATACTGTTTTCCATAATTTTCTGTTTATGCCCTTTTCAACATTATTACTGTCATATTATTGTACACTTTTCGTTCCTTCACTATTTCAGTCTACTTTACGAAATTTCGCTAATATACATCTGAGCATTTCCACTTTGTAATCATCAAGAGAAATAATATACCTAGTTGCTCATTATATACGTTTGTATGATATTATACATATTTCCATATTTGTGAAAAATAATCTGGGAAGATACATACTAAATGTGTTAACAGTAGTTTTCCTGGTGGGTAACGTGGGCTTAATTTTTACTCCAAACACTTCAGTACTATATGATTTTAATTTTTAAAACACTTTTGTAATTTAAAAAATGGGATTTAAAAAGGATGTATACTATGTTCGTGTGTAATACCTAATCAGTTTTTTTACTAAAATGTAGTTTGCCGTTTTCCGTCTTTTCATAGGACATCACGGTGATGTTGGAGCTCCTATAGCTGATGTTATTCTCCCAGGCGCTGCTTACACAGAGAAGTCTGCTACTTATGTCAATACTGAGGGCCGAGCTCAGCAGACTAAAGTAGCTGTGACACCTCCCGGCTTGGCAAGAGAAGACTGGAGAATCATCAGAGCCCTGTCTGAGGTACTTGCAGTGATGCTGCTAGCTGGACGTTTGACACGCTAGCTTGTCGGGATGGTTTTCAGAGTCAAGGAAGATGCAAGTCTGAGACGCAGAGATGATTTGAATAATCTCTGCAGGAAAAATGTGTTCAGAAGATGGGGATTTGAAATTAGTATTTTTATTTTTGTCTTGTCTTTTGCCCAAAAACACTCTTTTCACTCTCTTTACTTTAAAAAGCATCATGAGATTTGATATAATAATATACAGTTGTCTGGTCTGAAACTTCGTATGTGATCAGTAACAGGTTAGCAGAAGCATTCATATTTAGCATAGCATTATCTCTTTAGTCATTTATTTCATAATGAGCCTATTTTCTAAACATACTAATGTACTGACAGCTGTTTATGAATTAGTAGAAGTTTTGACAGTTGTGTTCCACACTTACCCAGTTGCTTAATGTACATGTTAATGGACACCAATAGATTTTTCACTAGTACTGCATCATTTCACTATAGTTGCAATTATATATTAGTTGAAATTTTTAAGTTTTAAAGCTCTATGTCAATTTTGGGGACCTGATATCTTATAGATTGCAGGTATAACTCTCCCATACGATACTCTGGATCAAGTAAGGAACAGATTGGAAGAAGTCTCTCCTAATCTTGTTCGATATGATGATATCGAAGGAGCTAATTATTTCCAGCAAGCAAATGAGCTCTCCAAGGTAAAAACTTGCCTAAATGCAGTTTTCATTATTATGAAATCATACGTATCCTCTGGTGTAACAGTACTAGTTTTAATACTATTATTGATCTCTTACTCCTGTTTTTGCAGTTAGTGAACCAGCAACTTCTTGCTGATCCGCTTGTTCCACCTCAGCTAACGATAAAAGACTTCTACATGACAGGTATGCACTTGTCAGCATGACTGCCGAATGAGAAGGGCGGTCAGGAATGAGGTCACCTAAGTTAGCATTACGATTCCAGCCTGTTAGTGGTAGTATTTGATATTTCTAATCTTTGAAGATTTTCAAACACCAGAACTAATATAATTCTTATTTTCTGATTTTACTCTAATTTCTTTTGTTTCTGCAAGGTAGGTGGAGTTTGAAAATCCAAGAAAACTTAACAGATTTTAAATATAAAATTTTACTATTGTATGTAAAATGACTGTGTAGCAATTTAGGGAGAATTTTTCTAAGTGACAAACACCTGTGAAGGTTTTTCTGAGAATTACAGTAGAAGACTCAAAACACTCGAATGTGCAAAGGCTGAACAGAGCTGAGGAAAATCGTGAGGGACGGTTTTAAGGAATGCAGTCTAACTGAGACCTGTTTACTGCAGCTCTGGCAACGCTTGATCTGACATCTAGGTTATGAGGTAGTTGACAGATGATTTTAAATAGCTTTCTGTCTAAAAGCAGATAGGAGTATAGTTTTAAATTTTTGGTATAGTTTGTATCTGAGATTATTTTTCATAGGCTTTTTAGTTATGTTATAAAAGTTACGTTCATTGTAGAATACATCCCTAAGCCCAAAAGAGCAAGGAAAAATCACCTGGGTCCCCCACCCAGAACTAACTACATTTAGTTTTAACATTTTTGTCAGTCATCCAGGGGTATACACATATATTATTTATTTAAATGAAAAATGAGATTATTCATTTACTACGGGGTTCTCTTTTGACAGCTTTATTGAAACATAGTTCACATAACATAAAACTTGCCCATAAAGTGTAGAATTCAACAGATTTTAGTAAACATACTCTTTTGTAGTCTGTTTTTCAATAACAATATGTATGTACATTTTTTCCCTATGTCTTTAATAGTTTTCTGTAATATTTTTACTGGTTGCATACTGGCACATTGGCATGGCTGTATGTAATTATTTAGTCAACAGAGGAATACTTATTAAAAGCATTTAGCGAGGCAGCCCTGATGGCCTAGTGGTTCCAGCGCTCTCACACTTGAGCAGCCTGGGTTCGTTTCCTGGTTGTGGAACCACACCACCCGTCTGTCAGTTGTCATGCTGTGGCAGCAGCTCACATAGAACTAGAAGGACTCACAACGAGGACATACAAGCCTGCGCTGGGGCCTGGGGGCAGGGGAGAGGGGGTGACTGGCAACAGATGTTAGCTCAGGGCAGAGCCTTCCCTGCAAAAACAAAATAAAATAAAAGCTTTTATCTAGTGCGGGGCTTATGATCTGAATTTGCTTGTTGATCTCACAAAATTTACATACAGTTGCATAGAGTTTTATAGTCTTTATTTTTTGTTCCTGAATATGTGCAAGAAGAAAGTTTTACTATGTGCTTTTTAAAAGTTGTATTATCAAAATGCATATTTTCTTAATATCTTTCAGATTCAATTAGCAGAGCCTCACAGACAATGGCCAAGTGTGTCAAAGCTGTCACAGAGGGTGCCCAGGCAGTAGAGGAGCCGTCCGTATGCTGAAACGTCTGCTGGGAACCCAGTCTTGCCACAAATAGTTAATGGACGATTATGTTAGAATGATCTCTTAGAGGATCATCTCTTTAAAAACTGTCTGAATGATGTAATATTTAACCTTCTACCACGCTTATTTGAAAATGATACTAAACAAAGGAAAATGATTACTGCAATTATCAAAGAAATTTGAGGTTTCAAAACATTTATGTATTGTGTGTAAACGTTGTTAGTTTAATAAACATACACAGATGCTCTTTCATGTATAAGCATTTGATAATCTTTGTGACAAATACAAAGAAAATCCTTAAAATGTGAATTTGTTTATCTTCATAGATCATTTGTAAAATGGATGAAATAAGAAGAGCTTCCATTAGCACCCACTTTTTTCTAGTGCTGAAGAAAAGATGTAAGCATTCTGTCAAGCTGGATACACAGAAAAAATATATGTAATATAATCATATATCAGATATGTAGCTTGGAAATCTAAGTAATAATAATCATAGTCATGTAGCTAAAGATTATTCAGCTTTGTCTGTGTGCTAAGCACTCTGGTTTTACACGCGTTATCTTGTTTTATTCTTGCTACAGCCCTATCATATAGTATTATTTCATTTTACTGGTGAAGAAACTGAAGCCCAGGGATATTAGATAGCTTACCCGAGGCCACAGCAAAAAAGTCACAGACTCAAGCCTAGTTCTGACTCCAAAACCCATTGTTCTTAACTACAATGCATAATTTCTTCCCATTACTACATATTCTATAGGTTGTTACTTCTGAGTGTTGGTACTTAGGAGTTTAATGGATAACACATTTTTCTGTTTTCTCTTGAGTCTGTTTATATAATGTCATGGTGATTTATGTGACATTTTTCTTTGTAAATAGATTACACATCTACACCCTTGGAATGAGGAAGTATCAAGAGAGAGAATTTACGTCCTCAATGATGTTCCGTATTTATTATATTAACACCACCTGTAGTATTAACTAAATTATTCCAGTAATAGAAGACAAAACTAACAGCTTTCATAATTTCAATTGTCGAAACAAAAAGGAAGCAAAAGTTTTGCAGTTAATCTAGGAGATAACCTAACCCTTTATTAAACTTTTTTCAAAATCTGTGTTCAGAATTCTTTTTTTTATAGTCCTCATTCCTTTCTGCTTTCCTGATAGAACAAAGGATAAGATTTTTAGAATAGTAGTCATGAATACTTTACCTTCAAAAATTGTACAAAATTTGTCACATGTAACAACTTTTTCAGAACTGTTTATCAACTTTAGCAATACATCATGAAGTTATATACTTTGCTTAAGTACTTTGCTTAAAATTCTTAGTTGCCTGAAATTGGACAAATTCTTGCTGGAAGTCTTTGAATTCAGTACAAACTTCCTATCCCTCTCTGCCTTCTTTACCCTTAGCACTGTTGCCGGCCTTGAGGGGCCTACCCCCCCCCCCCAGTTTGTTTTACACAGTACTCTTCAGTGAATGTGTATAGACGTCATAGGATTGTTAGGGAATACTGCATTCAGTTGGAGAAGAGATGGCACACGATTGATGGTCCAGGACCCTCGGGCTGCCATCTAGGCAGCACGTGTTGGATTTGTAATTCTGCAGAGAATACCTTGTCTGGGGTAAGTAGTGCTCAAGAAAATTTGTTGGCTTTTACATAAAGTAAACATGAAAATCTGTCTCATGGGCACCTATTAGTCACAAAATGCTAGATATTAAGGTTATTGTGAGCATAAACATTAAAGATGGCTGCTAGGGAAAAGATTCTGAAGAAGAGAAATACATAGAGGAGCGGAATAGCCCAGCTCATGGGATTATAGTTCTGACCAGTGAGGGAGTCATAGTGAGGTCATCTATACAGGCTCAAGCTGCGTCTCTGAATGGAGAAGGCAGTCTGGAAAGACCCTGGAGTGATAACAGCATTTAGAGAGGACCTTCTAAATATGTGCCATTAAAGCTTTAAGTACATTTTATCTAATTTTCACAGAAACTCTGCTAACAATAGGTATTAACTGAGACCCAAGAAATATTAGATAACTGCCCCTGGCTACAGAGACTAGACAAGGGGGTTTAATTAGAGATACTTTTACTGCCCCCGTGTTGCCTCAAATAAAAACCTTTTGGACAGCTATAGAAATTGAACAGATGTATAAAGAAAATCATAAAGCCTAAACTCCATATGGAATGTCCCCAAATTTATTGTGAATTGTATTATAATGAATATGTTAATAAGTAGTATGCCTTGAGCCAGCCCTGATGACCTAGTGGTTAAAATTAGGCAGGCTTTGCTTTGGCAGCCCAGGTTTGGTTCCGTGATGCAGAACCACACACTTACCTGTCAGTAGCCATGCTGGGGCGGCAGCTCATGTAGAACTAGAAGGACTTAGAACTAGAATATACAATTATGTACTGGGGCTTTGGGGACAGGGAAAAAAAGGAAGATTGGCAACATTAGCTCAGGGTGAATCTTTCCCAGCAAAAAAAAAGTATTATGCCTTCTTAACAATACCCACTCTACAATCACTTATTGTTGGTTGCTGAGTTGTTTAAACACTTTCTTGCCCGGTCAGGCAGATCTTGTCCAACTTTGGAAAAGTTACTTAGATTTTAAGATTGTTTCTTCATCTGTAAAATGAGGATAAAAATAGCAATAATTGTACCTACCTCCAACTTCATAGGGTTGTTAGGAGGATTAAGTCAGAGAGCCTATAAAACTCTCATCCTATTTCCTGACACACAGTACTCAATGTACTTACTAACTGAGGGCCATCAGTATAGGAAAATGCATATTCAAAGTTTTGCTGACAGTTTTAGGAGGTTGCAGCTAACCATCCCTGGGAGTCCTTGGGATCCTAAAATTAAAGGTCTCCATTCTAAGTGAATCAGGTGAAAACTCAGTTCCATTGATTGTGAAGGAAAGTCATGCCTAATGTAACCTCCAGCTTATATTTTCCTAAAGAAATGCATTGCTTTCCTAAGGCTCAAAGGAATCAAATGACTTGTCCAAAGTCAGCCCAATCAACAAAATGCTGCTACCACAGACCATCCACCAGGGTTGTGAAAATCAATGTATTACATAGAACTCTGCTTATTTTGATGGACTTTTTACCAGTCACAGTAAGATTTACTGAGTCTGTTGAATTCTAGTCCTTAAAAGAGAGTACTTCTAAGAGCAAAAACATAAAACGGTGCTGTCAGAAGAGGGGAAACTATGTGCTAGTGACAGGGTAGCGAGGGGTTGTTGGAGCCATTGTGCATAGAGGGAGAGGTGGATTCCTTTGCCACCGTCAACCTTGGGGCAGTATAAGCCGACAGCCTTATTGTTGCCCACACAAGTCACCCCAGCACTATTCAAGCTCCCAAGGAGAGGCGCTGGAGCAGCTGAGCAACCAAAGCGGTAAGTTAGGTGTTTTTTTAAATGTTAACATGGTTATTCATGACCGCTGTTAAAATGTCACTAGCAAAGTCATTACAAGCCCCTGTTACCAGAAGCTTGATGTGGCTGTGAAAAGTAGGGTTCGAGCAGAAATTAATAATATGCATGAGTTTGTTGTTAGTTGTTGTTATACACTGTCAAGTTGGCTCCAACTCCTGGTGACCCTGTGAGGGAGTGACATGCACAATGTCCTGTCCTCAGCAGCCCTCCTCAGCTCCTGTAGACTCATGCCTACGGCTTCCCTTATTGAGTCAGTCCATCTCATATTTGGTTTTCCTCTTTTCCAGCTGCCTTCTACTTTTCCAGCATTATTATCCTTTCCAAAGAATCCTGCCTTCTCACCATGTGCCCAAAGTAGGGCAGCCTGTTTTATCATTTTTGCCTCCAGCAATAGTTCAGGCTTAATTTGCTCTAGGACCCACTTGTTCAACTTTCTGGCAGTCCAGGGTGTCTGCAGAGCTGTCCTCCAACACCATGTTTCAAATGAGTCCATTTTTCCTCTCTGCCTTCTTCACTGTCCAGCTTTTCCACCCGTACATAGTAACTGGGAGTACAACAGTGTGGATAATCTTAGCCTTGGTTTCTAATGACACTTCCTTACACATGATCATCTTTCCTAATTCTTCCATTGCTGCCCTTCCAAGTCTGTCTTCTCTTAATTTCTTGGCTGCAGTCTCCATTCAAATTGATGACAGAACCAAGGTAAACAAAATCTTTTAACTATTTCAATGTCTTCATTGTCTACGTTAAAGTTATGTAGTTCTGTTAGTCATGATTTTTGTCTTCTTGATCTTCAAAGGCAGTCCTGCTTCAGCACTTCTCTTTCCTCAGAAGTCATTTCTAGTCATTGCTGCTTTCTGCCAGTAGGATGAGTATGATAGACTGCTTTTTAGGACATTTTGTAAGGCTAATCCTGTCATAGCATGGCTAGACCTTATATTTGTGATTGACTCAACTTTTGGAAACAAGTAGACATGAAAAAAATCTGATGGAGATCTATTGAAATGAAAAATTATGTATATACACATACATGGCCACCTTTTATAAATTATGAAGATAGCTAATAATTTTTTAATAATTTTAGATATCTTAACAATTGCATAGTACTTTTATTAGTTTGCTTATTTAATTTAGCCCGAGAGAGAAGAATGTTAATGGGAGAACTATGACTATACCTCAGGGCTAGACTTCTAAGAGAACAAGGATGTCAGAACAAAACGCCCTTTGCTTAAAGTGCTGTTTGTGGGTTTTACCACTAAAACTTTTTAAAGACTAAAGATTGACTTACCTATGACTGATACTCAAAATCTTTGACATCTTAGGGTCTGGCCCCGTGGCTGAGTGGTTAAGTTCGTGCGCTCTGCTGCAGGCGGCCCAGTGTTTCATTGGTTCGAGTCCTGGGCGTGGACATGGCACTGCTCATCGAGCCATGCTGGGGCGGTGTCCCGCATGCCACGGCTAGAAAGACCCACAACGAAGAATATACAACTATGTACTGGAGGGCTTTGGGGAGAAAAAAGGAAAAAGAATAAAGTCTTTGACATCTTAATATTTTTTAAATAACTTACACTGAAAAGCGTACGATGGTATTGAATATGGTGAATGCATGGTCTAGGACTAGTGATTAGTTTACAGTATTTGAACTGGTACATAAAGAGATCATAAAATGAATCACTTTTATTAATTTTCTTCTTAGAAGCATATAATTTTGGATCTGAAAAGGACTATAGAAGAAAATCTAGTATTACATGTGCATTTTATCTTTGTGGAAATGAAGGCCAGAGAGAATAAGGGGCAGATTTGGGGCAGGTCTTGTGGTTTGAACGAGCTCTTCTGTTTCCTGGTTCAGTGACATCCCCAAGCCTTAAATTCACTCGCGACATAGATCAAAATTTGCAGAGTACCTACTGTGGTCGGGTACAACAATAAGTACCAGGACTGCAAAGAGAAATGTGGTTTAGTTTGTGCACCCCAGAAGCTAACAGTGTAATAAAAGGTATGTAAACATTAATTACAGTAACATCATAGCATGTTCTAATGCAGGAATGTACATAACATGGTGGTGGCCATGGCTGGACCGGAGGTTTCTTAATGCCCAGTGTTAGCCATTATCTAGGGAGACAGACACACTCAGACACTGTACGATACCCACCAAAATCTTAACTGCCCAATTTGTAGACCTAGCAATTCCACTTCCCAGGAATTTATCCTAAAGATATACCTCATGGGGCCAGCCTGGTGGTGCAGCGGTTAAGTTCCCATGTTCTGCTTCGGTGGCCCCGGGTTTGCCAATTCAGATCCTGGGTGTGGACGTGGCACCACTTGACAAGCCATGCTGTGGTAGGCGTCCCACATATAAAGTAGAGGAAGATGGACATGGATGTTAGCTCAGGGCCAGTCTTCCTCAGCAAAAAGAGGAGGATTGTCAGCAGATGTTAGCTCAGGGCTGATCTTCCTCAAAAAAAAAAAAAAAAAGATATACCACATGGATTTGCAAAGACTTGTAGGTAAGAATGGATATTTGCATTATTGTCAGATAAAACAAAAAATTTAAATGTCCATCAATGGAGGCCTGCTTAAAATATTTTTGGTGTAAATCATAAAATGAAATATTATGCAGATGTTTAAAAGAATGAGCTAGATCTCTAAGTGCTGCTGTGTAGAGCTCTAAGATACATACAGTAGTATGTATCTATCTATGTATATGTTTATGTGAAAAGTGTCTCAGCAGATACAAAAAACCTTAATTGTGGTTACCTCTCAGGAGTTCAACTGGTGTGAGGAATAGCATAAAGAAGGATGTCACACCTCTACCACTTGAACATTGGAAAGTCTACAATAAGAATAAATTGCTTTTATAATTTTAAAAAATATTACTTAATTTGTAGCAAAACATTTAAGTTGATGAAAACTAAAAATAGGATACAAAGTGGTGTGCATACTACATGTGGTAGGCAGCCCCTTGGATGGCCCGATCCCTGCCTCTGGGACTCACCCTTGGGTTCTTGCCTTTCCCTAAGTGTGGGCTGGACTTACTGACTCACTTCTGATGAATAGGGCTGTCCCTGCTGAGATTGGGTTTTAAAAAGACTGGCTTCCATCTTGGGCTCTCTCTGATTCTCTCCCTCTCAGATCACCACCTGCCGTGTCGTGAGGACACTTAGGCAGCCTGTGGAGAGGTAAGGAAGAGGCCTACCAGCAACCACACGAGTCAGCAGACTCCTTTGGCTCCCAATTGAGTCCAGATGACTGCAGCCCCAGCCAACAGCTTAACTGCAACCCCATACACTTCTGGAAACTGTGAGATAAATTTTTGTTGTTTTTAGCCACTAAGTTTTGAGTTATTTTGTTATGCAATAATAGATAACTAATATGCTATGATTATAACCTAGCAAAAGCACATGGCAGAGTGACCCACATCCAATGACAGATCCATGTGAGAGTATAAAGACATGGCCATCTAGACCCAATGGGTGAAAGTTCTGAAGGGCAGTTGTAACTTCTGAGTGCTCTGTTGGGGTGGCTGAGGCTGTCATTGGGCAGCATTGCAGCTCAACTTTTCCCTCTGCCCACTCCTGCTTTCTCCCCATCCTGTGCAGGTGTTGACGGCCAGGGAACTCCTTAATAATATTCTGCACACTAACCTCTACTGCGAGTCCGCTACCTGGAGAATTCCAATCCGTGACAGCCATCCAGAATACCTGTGGATCCTGGGTGCTGCTCAAACTATCACTGTGTCTGAGCCAGCAAGAAGGGGGTGAGGAAGTGGAGGAGAAGCACTTAGCGTTTTATGGATATGACTTGGAAATTGCATCACTTCCGCTCGCACACCATAGGCGAGACTTGCAGCCACATTCACCTGCAAGACAGGAGGCTGGGAAACGTAGCCTCTAGTTGGACAGCCATCTACCCGACTAAAACAGAGATTCTAGAGAAAGTGTTCTAGTTATCTTTTGCTGTGTAATAAACCACCCCAAAACTTAGTGGTATAAAACCTCCATTTTACTATGTTCATGAGATTCCATAGGTCCAAAATACGTAATGGGCACAACAGAGGTGGGGGCAACTCTTTTCTGTTCTGTAAGGTTAGAGCCTCAGCTGGCTGACTGGAATATCTAGGGATGACTCAAAGAGCTGAGGGCTGGGGCGGCTGTGGCTGGAGGCCTCAGCGCCCAGGTGGCATCTTCACTCACGTGTGTGGCTCCTGGGGTGGAATGGTGGAAGGACAGGTTCTGGGATGGGATTGTCTTCCAGAACATCTCCTTGTGGCCTGTTCAGCATGACAGTCTCAGGATAGGTGTACTGATATGGTGGTTCAAGGCTCCAAGAGCAAGATGAGGGAGGAAGCTGCAGGCCTGTAATGACTTAACCTCAGCAGCTATACAGCATCCCTTCCACTGTACTTTGTGGTCAGCCAGGCTCAGAGCCCACTCAGATTCAGGGGAAGGAAACGCACATCCCACCTCTTGTGGGAGGAGGGTCAAAGAATGAAAACCACCACAAGGGTAGATATTGGCAGACAATTAGTTCCTGCCATGGGCCCTGTGATATGTACTGCAGTAATGAAGAGGGATACAGAGAAAAAAGAGAGACAGACCACAGTAAACTATAAAATGAAATTTCTCTAACATACCAATTAATCTATAACTGTTTTCTGATTACTTTCCACATATCCAACTCTACTGCTTTAGCAGCCAGTATAGAGTTGGTGTGTCCACTGTCACATATAGGATAGAGCTGAGGCCCTTCCTTTGGCTCCAATTCCTTAAGCTTTTCAATACAGCTCAAGAACCTTGGCACGTATGGAATGCTCTTTGTGGGATCGAGGTCATTTATAGGCGGAAATGGGTCTTTGTTAGGTTGCTACAGGTTGCCCAGCCTGGGTTGCCGTAGACTGGGTAAGCGCTAGGTCCAAATGAGTAGTACTCCAAACGCAGCGTATTTCGTATCACAGTTTGAGGACAGCAGGGGAGGCCAAACTGTAGTTCTCCACTGTCTGCTATTCCGTTTCCACTTTCCTAGATTCACTGTATTCTTCAGCAGGATAAGTAAGCTCTCTGCCAGACAATGTGCTATACATTATTAATCTAAGATAAGAACTGAGCCTATGGAGATCTGTAAACTCTTCCAAGACTGTGGGATTTTCCTCATGCTCCTAGGGGTAGGGTGACCTTGTCCTGTTGTTCTAGAACAGAAGCGTCGACTTTGGGAAGTCCTGGGATAATGCTGGAAGTCTAAAAGGAGCAGTAAAGCATAGCTAAATTTCATTAATCTCAATTTCCCTGCCAAGAAGAAGAAATGCCAAAAATTTTTTTGCCTTCTCCTGTTTGTTTTTTCTTCTAAGATTAGAAGCAACCTGGTCTTTATCTGAAGTGTACTGTTACGTGGATAAAGTTAAATAACAGAACACACGCCTTCCTGTAGCTCCCCAGGGCCCAAACTACAATTCCCATAAAGCATAGGGTGGAGATGTATTGTTTGCTTAGTAGCAGGAACTAAACAACCACACCCCTTCATGGGATGGGGCTCGATCTGTATCTGCAAGCCTGGAGGGAATGAGGAGGGAGAGGTGGTGCAGCCTCTGTGTGTCCTTACTGTGACCTGTGCCCTCTCCTTGTCCACCCTTCACTGTCCTAGCCAAACCTGTGTGTCCACCCTCTTCAAAGCTTGTCCCTAAGAGGTTGGGTGGGCTCCTCACCCCCTGCTCGCTCTCTCGTGGTTTGCCTTTCATGTTCTCGCTGCACATTCTCTCAGTCCATAGGAGGGGCACTTCTACAGGTTCAGATTTGTCATTGTCATGTGTCCTGCACCTTCCCTCCATTGTGACTCGGCATACAAAATATGACTCAGCCTTTGATAAAACTGGAACGATTCTCATCCAAAACGGGAATATTAGGACAAATATCTTGTAAGGGAGTGGTTTTAGGAAAGTGTGAGACCCTGTATAAATCTATTGATTGCCAGAAAAGAGAGATCTAAACATTTTAAATAATCTATTTGAGTCTCGAGCGTCCACTTCCTATTCCACTGTCAACTTTTTGATTGGAATTGGTTCTTCCATTCATGTTTTGTGGTTTAATTCATTAAGTCCTTGTGCAAGAAAAGCAATTTTCAGAAGGAAAATGAAAAACGCCCTAAAAGGGAGCAGAAACCTTTCTGCTAGGTGATCCGGCAGAGATTATTAGGAACTTCTCTGCTTCTGATGCAGCAAGCGGCCTGTTCTGACCCTTAATGGCTTTACAGTTAAGGCCACCAGCCAAGGACTGTGCCCATGCGCGTTTATTCCCTGGGCAGTACCCAGCGTGCTCTTAAATTTGAATGTTTTGATGTTGACTTGAATTATTATGCCTGATCCTCGAGGTTGAGTAGAGCAGTGAACTGCTCACCCCTAGGAATGACAGTTCGCTTCTCCCAGGACTAAGAT